GTTGGTTGCTGCTGGACAAATACATCCAGCGTCTCCTGTTTTCCTCTCCCCTCACCACTGCTCCCACCTCGTTGCTCCGACTGCTCCCTACTCTGCAGCGAGGAGATCCTCACACCTACACACACACACAACAGCAGTTTTTATTATAGCTATAACTTATCGTGTGTGTCCTACCCATCAGTCTGAGTCTAAGGGGATTAGGGGCACAGGCTCTGATCTCTGTCTCCAGTAGCCCACTGGCTGCACTATGGAGCTGCTCAGCCAAAGAGACCGGCTGCGGTAGAGTAACTGTTTTTGTCTTTACCTCGAAGCTAACTGTCTTCAGCATCACGCCAACTGTGCGTCCCTATAGGGTGTGTTCAGAGTGCAGTATTTGTGATCCACCACACGTTTTTAGATACAGACCATGATGGCATCACGCTCCATATCGCCGGCCAGCTCCCTACACAGCTCGAGACATTTCTGTTGGAGCTGACTGGGCTCACTGATCTCAGCAAATGTCCTGAAATATGATCCTAATGTAAAGATCAGCGAATGTGCTGCACAGATATCATCTGCAGGCCCAACCTAACTTTGTGTACTCATACTTTTCCTAGAATACTCCCTAGAAAGAAAAATAGGGAGGGTTAGAAATTTAAAATGCTACCAACAAAGTGTCATAAATATATAATAGAATTGAAAAGCACTTGAAGGGCAACCCGCGGCGCATTGTGACGCGCACGCGTAAGTAAACGCATGCGCAGTACCACTAATTGATGGGCTGGGTTTAGTTTTAGCTGTTACTCGTGGTCTCTTCCCAGCTCGCGCAGAGTCTGACGCGGGCTAACTACACTACTAGATAGCATGCGAGAGGCGATACACGCCCTGCGTTGCATCTTCTGGTGCCTCTGAGGTACGCAGAGCACGCGGATCGATCAGACCGTGGTAAGCCATCCCGTCCGTTGCCTATTTGCATATTGGCTTTTTTCGCGCTCTAGCTCTTGCAAACGGAGCAGTTTCAGAGAAAACCCCACATATTTTCTGACCTTCATTGCCCGTTCAGTAGGTGGTATCCTTTGTGAGACGAACGAACACTCGAGAAGTGAGATGACGAGTAACAGACAGACATCACAGAAAGACAGACAGACAGACATCCGCCAAAACAGAGGACAAATAACAAACATAAAACAACTACCGTAACCTCGCGGCGCATGCGCGCGAGGGTTATTAATACTACTCAGGTGGCTGCCACTAGCACTAGGGCCTAGACACGCACCCAGAGCAATGGGCGGAAACTGTTAACAAACGTAACATACACCATATGAACATGAGGTGTCTGTCTCAAATTCAGCAAAAAAACCCACCGCGAATCGTTTTCAAACATCACCCAGTGTCGTAGAGTATCAAAAACAACATGAGCCACAAAAAACCTTTATATACTACAGGGGTCCCCACTTAAATCATACTGTTAGTAGAATATCCCGTTTATTAATCATACAAACTGAAATCCAAAACCATTCCTATGCTTCCCATAATTTTACTCCGTTATACAATACGGATAATGTCATATCCCGCCTATTATCATAGAAAAATTGAGCAATTTTGGTTTTTGCCCGCATATTATTGCGCATGCGTAATTAGGCATTCTACAACCTTGGGCTGCAACTCTCCATTCTCCACCTGGCTTCTATTAGCTTATGTAAACAGTTTGGCTAGCCTAGCTTCATTAGCTTAGCTAAACAAACCGCTATTTCACATATACACACCTGGAGTATACACAGTATACGCGCATTGTAGAATATCCCATATTTTTTGGATGCACCGTGGGTATGATATTAACCGGGACCCACTGTATATGTTTCCTTTAAAGTGATTGTATAGATTTCTTGTCTTGAAATCTTTGTTATATATAATATGCTAATACTTATATACATACACAGTAACTGAAGCAACAGTAACTGGAGCCAATAGTTAAGAGTTGGTGTGGTTAGCAAGTCAACTGACCTGTGGACGTGTGTGGAGCCTAGGCCGAGACAGACTCTCAGGAAGTGGCTGGAGGAGGATTGGGAGAAGAGGAGTTGGAGCACCGCCCGCTGCTGGTAGAGGTCCCTCCACGTCGTCACACTCAGAGCATTGAGCATGCTCTCCGTGACCTTCCCTATCCCACTGATCTGGAATAGCAACAACTTCAGCAGTGTTTCGAGTCTTTCGACACTCGTACAGTAAAAAATTTAATTAGGTACTTAGAGTATATAGCACAGAGGTAGAAAAAGAGTTGTATATAAGGTGAAAAAGCGGAACGTCTTATAAAAGGCACTCCGAATTAAGAAACCTGTGCACTTGTTCGATTCGGTGCTAATACTTCTTAACCTTCGAATAAAGGACACCTTTCATTGTCCCAGTGTATATACCGAGGTTCCACCTCATACCTTTCTTATGGGGAGTTTCTGTACAAACTCGAGGACTGCCTCTCTTGAGGCGGCGACAGTAAACTGGCCGTTTGGTTTGTTTCATGTCCGAGGCCACCTTTGCCAGCATCATGTTGGGGGCCAGACCAGCACTGGCTGTTAGACCAGTCTTCTCCACGATCTCCCTCCTCATACCTTCAACCACCTCCTCCGCACACCTCCAGTGGGCTGGAGTCAGACAACCCCGGCTCTCTACCAACGTGGATGCTGCATTAGTTTCACTGGAGCAAGGTTCAGCTACATGTTGCTGCGTCTGGTTGACCCTCGTCTTTACAAACTCCGTGATATCGAGGTAAGCCTCGTCCAGCCCACCGGGCAAAACTGGGAATCGTAGCGAGCCAATACCTCCCTCACCTGCTCGCTGGCCTGGCGGTACTTCTCAAGGTGGAGGGGAACGATTACGATGTTGGGACAGAGTTTCCTCGCGATGAATCCGGGCATCGCAGCACGTACTCCGTACCTTCGAGCTAGATAGTTTGAGGTGCTCTGTGTACAAAAAGATGTCAAGTTTGTCAAGTTATAGAGGAGAAGCAAAGAAAAAAGATGTCAGATTAGCAAGTTAGAAGTACTCTGCATACAGGTATTGAAAAGGATGTCATATTAGTTAAGTATACAGGATGGGCTCACCAGCATAGATGACCCACCAACCGCCATTGGTACATCTTTCAGTCGAGGATCGTCCCTCATTTCCACCGCGGCATAAAACGCGTCCATGTCAACGTGGACTATGATGTGGTTGTAGTCTCTAGTGGCTTCCAGTGCCTCCAACTCCTTGTCGGTGGCCTTCAGCGCCCCAGCTCTCTGGTCCGGAGTGACCTTCCCGAGCTCATTAACATTCTCTGCACCCTCTTCTGCACCTCTCTCTCCTTCCGTAGCTCGTTCTCGTAGTACTTTGAGCCTTTCGTGGCCTCCAGAATGATCTGGTTGATCTTGTCCCTGTCCAGACCCTCCATACCGGCCTTGTTGTCATTGAGACCGATTCGAGATAGTGGAGCACTTTGGAAGCTCTTGGACCTAGAGATCTCCCTAGCAGTAGCAGCAGCTGTGGACTTATTTAGAGAAACACAAGTTTCATCTTCTTGTTCGCTACCACTGTGATTAGCGGGGGATTCCTCTTCATCTTCAAAAAGGTCTGGACTTTCTCTACCATCGTCTTCCATCTTTTACGCGCGTGGCTTCGGTAGGCGCAATCATTACGGGGCTACCTCTTTTTGTTGAACTCAGATGGCCTGCTCGTTGTTTGCATGGCAGTAGAAAAGCGTCCGTTGCCAGTGCCGGCGACAGAGTCTGTACAAGGAGAGGAGTCGGAGGGGTGGATATAGACCGGCGAGTACCAAGTGAGCGGTGTAAAAGAACTGGGATGCCCGCGAGACGGACGCATCTGGCTTTGTGCGGGTTTCTACTCTGCTGCGTCATCAGCTCGGGCAGTACTGCGGGCAGCGAGGGCGCTGCAGAGGACGCGCCTCATGTGTTTGTGGCCCTGCAGACGAGGAACTCGGCTCACCTCCTGCCCAACTTCTTTGGCTACTTGGAGAACCTGGACTATCCCAAAAGCAGGATATCAGTTTGGTGAGAGAGCCCTCTGCATAACATACATGGGCAACAGTGCTTGTTCACACCTCCCACTAGCTCATATCATGTCTGGCATTTATCAGGAGTTAATCCTAGCTTTTAGTATTGATCAAGGAGTTACTTACGGACGTCAGCTTTGACATAGCTAACGTAAGGGGAAGGAAGGTGTTATGTGTGTTTCTGAAACAAACTGTAATAAAGCTACTAACGAACAGGGTAAGAACTGATCACAACCTGGACGACACTCCGGCTGTCCTGGAGGCGTGGTGCACCGCAGTGAGAGACGTCTACTTGTCTGTGGACTGCCAGCATTCCAAGAAGGTTGTATTTGATGTTGGCTACCCTCCCCCCGACACTGATGAACAGTACAGACACACAGCCAGCGTGCAGCAGACGGCACTGGAAGCTGGCCGCAGATCTGGAGCCCAATATTTCTTTGTCAGTTTTCAAGGATCATTTTAATGTTAATTGTTCAGTTTTTTTGTCGAAATAGGTTTTGAATACCGACAATTTCATTACTAATCCCCAAACTCTACGTCTGTTGATTGCCGAAGACAGGTCAGAAAACGGACAATATTCAGTGTGTGTATGCGCACTTGCTGAATATGTACGTAATGTTGCAGGGTTGTTACAGCACCCATGTTGAACAGTGAAGGCAACGCTGCTTTCTCCAACTTCTGGATGGACCAAGACAGCCTGGTGAGCTGACAAGAACACAGATCAATTTTACCAACACCCTCTTCCTCTCCCCCCCCTCCTTTCCTACAGGGCTACTACAAACGGCACGAGGACTACCTGCCCATCCTCCAGAGGAATTTCACCGGTTGTTTCAGGGCACCGGTCCTCCTGCCACCTCTCCTCATCCACCTCTCATCTCCTCAGTCGCAGTCCCTCATCTACCACCCTCCTCTGGAGGGGTTCAACGGTCCCACGGACGACATCGTACACTTCGCCTACTCTGCCAAAATGGGAGGTAATGAGTCTATCTTTTCTTTTTCCCCTCTTATTTTCCTTCTGACCTTCTCTCTCTCTTTGTAATGTTTGGGATTACTTTTAAACAATGTCCACAAATACGGTATTTTGTGTAACCCCGGTACCTCGCCAGTAGCGCTTGCGTCGCCCCTGGCTTCTACCAGCTAGGGTCTTGTTGTCTTTCTTACGAGTCTCAGCACATTCAATAGATACGATACAGCTGCCATTAGACTTGGCTAGTGCTACACGTGGGCTCTCTGTGCTATAGAGTACGTATGCGTAGTGTCTCAGTCTTAACATTTGTACGCCAACCAGTGGGTGTTGGTAACCCAGGACACGCGTCTTAACCTGCCCTCTTCCCCAGTCATCACCCACCCACACTCTCTGTATCTGTCTCTCTCAACACTGCCCTGCAGGAGTGGCCATGTTCATCTGTAACACCGAGCTGTTTGGCTACATCATGAGACCCCACACCCACCCCAGTCTCAAGGTGGCTGCAGAGAAATTCGTCGACTTCAAAACAAAAACACTCGGTATGCGCAAAGTGTGACCTACTACAAACTGTTTTTAAAGAAATATTCCGCTTTTTTTCCTTCTTGTTCTTGTCTGCAGTGAATTATCCACCAGTCATCTATAGTCAGTTCGTGCCTGCACCAGCACAGCCCAAGAGCAACATGGGTCTCGATGCAGTTGAGCTAACACTGTAACAATACAGTAGAACCTCCGATAAAGGAAACAACACTTTGAATATGGACACAACAGGAAAAAAACCTATCAATAAAGGAATACTTTGAGGCCCCAAATGTTGACTCTTCTATTACTAAGTGCATTTTTAACCTCCAAAGAGAGGACACCCTCCCTCTAAAGGACAGAATGCCTGGTCCCAACGTGTCCACTATTCAGAGGTTCCACTGTACATATGTACATACCATCTTGTGGGTTCCACTGTATATACATATGTACCATCTTGTGGGTTCCACTGTATATACATATGTACCATCTTGTGGGTTCCACTGTATATACATATGTACCATCTTGTGGTTCACAGCAGTGTTCATTATAATTATTGAGGTTCCACTGTATAATAATGGTTCACAGCAGTATATCTGTATCATAATACTGTAGGTGTATATGATCAGCCTTGTCCGGCGGCCGGAGCGGAGGAACAGGATGATTGCCTGTCTCGACGAGCTCGGTTTTGACTACATTGTATTCGACGCAGTGGACGGGAGGTATAATATATTGACGAAGATTCCACCTGAAACCATAAGACCACGTCACCGGTTGGCGAGTATGGGTGTGTGACTTGTGTACATAGTGACGCAGCCTGCCTCGAGGAATTAGTATCCCGCCGATGGAATGTGTCGTGTAATGTTTGGCCCTGCAAATTTTCGCACTGGGTCCACAGTATTGGCCTTGCTGTAGTTTACCGGGTGAAGATTGTTACGTAAATAAAGAGATAGTCTACTCGCACAGTGGGAAGGTTTAAAAGAGAGAAAACGTTTGCAATTTGGTGGCAAAGTGTACAGACAGAAACCTCACATGGATTGCATTTCCACCATAAAAGTTGTTGTTCTTAATTCATTTTTAAGACTACGGTCATCGTGGTCCTCATTATTCGTGGAGAATGTTGGCTCTGAGTGTACAAAATCTATTTCTTTCTTGAAACTCTCTTGATCTACTGTCTACTGTAATCGACGTCTCACTACTCAGGAAGCTGAACGCCAGTTACGTGGAGGGAGAGCTGGGTATTCACTACATGTCCAACTGGAGAGATCCCTGGGGCGATCGAACTATGACCTTTGGCGAGGTCGGCTGCTTTCTCAGCCACTACTTCATCTGGAAGAAGGTTAGCGTATATACTCATTGGGTGAAGAGAAGGGGAGGGAGGGAGGGAGGGATAAAGAAAGAGATAACGGAACATTAGCCATGCTGTTGAGCTTTACAGGTGTTTTCTTGTATTCAACCAACCGAATATGCTCACTGGCCTCTGTGTATTTTTCAAAGTGGAGAGGAAGAGGGTTAATGAGTCAGTTTGTTTGGGGCTGTGGGTGCTAGATATTGGAGAGAACAGTGTGTATGTATATTACAGGTGGTGGATGAAGGTCTCGACAGGGTCCTAGTAGTGGAGGACGATATTGACTTTGAGCCTCGGTTCAGAGAGGGTCTGGCTGAAGTCATGAAGGAGGTAGAGGTACTGACTCCCACCTGGGACCTCATGTGAGCTGCTGCACACTCATTTGCCTTGTTACGACTCATGAGTCAAAACTTAGTCTTATATGAAGAACCAACTCTTATTGGGTTGAGTTGGCCTTACACCTGCACTTGCTTGTTAAATGTACAAGTTCTAGGTCAACAAAGGACACTCAAACTTCATCGTTTTGGATAGTCAGCTTATACACGGGCGTGGTAGATAGAAAGAGGAGAACTATCTTATGTCCGGAGTTGAACTCCAACTCAGGCCCAGTGGAAACCAGTGCAGTAAACACTGAGCCACAACTCCCTGACAAAAGCCTGTCTTCACTCTTCTCTCTAAATAAGCAACATTTCGATTTTTCTCTCTCTCCTATTATACCCTAGCTATGCAGGGAGGAAGAGGCTGTACCTGGATTCTGAGCCAGCGGTCCACGGGTCACGGAGACTGGTTCGACCAGCCTACTCCTACTGGACTCTGGGCTACCTCCTCTCCAACAGAGGAGCCAGGAAACTCCTGGAAGCCGATCCTTTCCACAGTTTCCTCCCAGTCGACGAATACTTCCCCATTCTCTTTGGAAAACACCCTCAGTACGTCTATACACCAGCTGTCCTCAGCAGCCCTATACCCATACTTATTGCTTCGAAATTTTGTGGTCACGTCAGATAAATCTGTCAAATGCACACAATAATGTTACAATAATTATGGAAAGATCGATGATGCCACAAGCACCACAGAAAAGACCACAGATGGATCACAACTGTGCGTGTCTACTGCACATGTATGTACTGTTTGTTGTGCAGGAAGGAGTGGGCCCAGCACTACCCTAACCAGAACCTGGAGGTGTACTCTGCCAACCCCCTCCTCCTCCACCCCACCCACTACGTCGGGGACGCAGAGTGGTTCAGCGATACCGGTAAGATCACTGCTGTACATTCCTCTCTCCCTCCTCGCTCTCTTCCTCTCTACTCCTGATATGGTGTGACAGTGGAAGAACCCCCTTAATTCGAGACACCAATGGGGCAGAAGGTCTTAGTGAGGTGTCCTTATTTCAGGGGCTAAATTGCATGCAACAAACTGTTATTTTGGTAAAGAAGCGGTGACCTTATTAGTGAGGTGCCCTTATTCCGTTCAGGAACGGTGTAGATGCCAAACAGGTCCTTATTAGAGGGGTGTCCTCATATCAGAGGTGTCCTTAGAGAAGGAGTTCTATTTTGTGTCCTATGCAGAGCCTCCACTGGAGATTTTGGAGGTAATACGAGAGAAGAAGGCGCAGGAACAAGAAGTTAAACAACAGGTATATATAGGAGAATGGAGCTGTGTGTATTGCACAGGTCTTTCCTCTCTCACCACAGAAAGCTGCAGAGCAAGTGGCCGAGATTGACGGTCGGCAGAAGGAGGTGAGGGACAAGGCGGTTCAGAGGCAAATTGAACTCATGAAAAAGAAAATGAAACAGAGATCGGAATTGTGAATAGGCTGGCTGGCTTTTTTTGCTTTGTTGTAGGTCTGTATTTTCTACTGTCTACCAAACACTCATTTGTTAACTCAACAACTTGGAAGCAAATTTCACTCAAACGATTTCAAAACCACCAGTGGTGTATATACATTATAATATAGACGCTATTCCCAAAGCACATGCCAGCATTGCTTCATAATACAGTGCACAACGCCATCAGCATTCTCACTATGACGTGTGTAGTGTTTAGTTATGCTGGAGGAAATCTGAGCTGTGTATCTGTTGTGGTGGGCTCTGTTTGGAGTGAGCCTGGAGGGTCTTCTTGAGTGGTAGTGTCTGGAGCACCGCAAGGTACCATTGACTGCTGTTGTGCCTTGACCGAGTTCTCCAACATGTCTGATATATACTCTGCAAAAAGACACAAAAACATGTTTTACACACTGCTAATTCTTGAATTCGTGATATTCTCAAAAGAGTACTCTTTTCCTACCTTCCATTCTGTCGTGACTGGAAGCCAGGACTAGGAGTCCCCATCCCAGGACACAGCAGATGGAACGGAATGCAGACAGACCCAGCCATGCCCCCAGAGCAGGGGTCGTGGGGTCGTTGGAGGTCGGGAAGTAGGCAGTGTCACTGGAGACTGTGTGGGTGGTGAGGGTGTGGAGTGTGGAGTTGGTGGAGGTGAGGTTGCGAGGAGTGACAATGTCAGGCCTGGGGAAAGATAATAGAAAATGGTTATTCAGGGATATCGTTAGGTTTGCTAATGCAAACTAGTTGTCTTACATCTACAATTGTGTCAATATGTTCATAGGTGCAAACATTTTTTGGTTGTATATATAGTGAATCAAACCATGATCCAAATGGGCTTTATGGGAGAAAGAACAGTGTGTGTGTGAGACTATGTATAGAGACCCACCAGAGGGACGGCTGATCGGGAAAGAGGGAAACCCTGTCATCAGTGGCAGCTAGACTAAGACTCAGAATCAAGGCCACTCCTGTGAGTGCAGTGGCTGTGGTATGGAGAAAGAGAGAGAGAGGGATGAGGTGACAGAGAATGGAGGAGTGGGAGTCTACCTGCCAGTACTGCCAGACCAGGCAGAGAACGTAGACTGAACTGGCAGCACTGCCTGCCAGCTCTCGCCAGGTCCAGCCTACACAACACAAACAGCCAAACCTACACCTATGCCCTACTGTCTAGTTGAACATACACAAAGATTGCAAGCATGCATATTCAGCAACAAACAGTTTCGCATGTGTGAGCGTGCTTCACTGCACATAATCCAATGGGAACGCATCATGCAAGAGAATTTACTAACAACACAGATACTGTATACACCCCTCTGTTACGGAGTTAGGTAGGAACCTGTCCAGAAGGGAGAGGGAGACGAGGGAGAGGAAGAGGAGGTAGAGGGAGTGGGCGGGGAGGGACAGGAGGTGGTAGGACTGGAGCAGAGTCAGGTGTCTCCCAGGCAGAGAGCCTATCACGTTGCTCGCGACACAATCCCACAGCGACAGACCTGTACATGTACAGCAACATTAAGTAGCATCATTAGCACCGAAAGGTTTGTGAGTTCATTGCAGGTTCAGCTTCCTAATGCTTTGTCTCAAACAGATCACGCAGTACATTACACGGCATGAGAGTGATGAACAGTTGCCTGACAAAGAAAATGAGAAGTGAGTCTGCTGGTGGTATGTGTGGTGCATTACCTGCTAAGAGACCATGTGCAGTGACCGATATTCTCTGCACCAACTGATGGGAATACTGTGTTGTGGAAAATAGATTACGAGAGAGCAGAGTTTGTTGGTGTGCATATATACCAAGGCAGCTAGTTCACTGGATATTGGTCTGTCCATTAATTTGAGACATTGTGTGTCGTCACTGGCAGGAGCAACACTGCTTGACTTGTGTCGGACATCAAAACCACGCCCATCTGCACAATGGGAACACACAACTCTCCATGCAAGCAGAATTTGCTATCCTGGAAAAAACTTGTAGAAAAATTTCGGTTCATACTGAAACAGCATTTCCTTGACACAAGTGTAGGAGCTAAATCTGAAATTTTTAGGCTGCAAATGATGCAGAGTCTCTTTTACATTTCTTATTTCTGGACATCAGTGCATGGTAGTTTATATGACAAGTTGGAGAGGGGTCGGGTAGGCTGACCTGCTCTCTCTACAAAGACAAGGCCTGGAGACTGACTGAGATGATGTGAGACTGTAACAGGAGAGGCACCCTCCACCACCCTCTCCCTTCCTCCTTTCCCCCCCTCCGCACACCCCTCCTCATCTTGGATCTCATCCCGTGGGGGAAAGTAGTGGGGAACAGTGGCAGCAACTCTGCTACTTCCTTCTACATACACACACATGTAGAAAAACCATTATGGTATATACAATCTGGTAATCTGCTATCTGTGTCCGAGCTTATACACTCTTTAAAACCCATGTTTATTCTCAGATTGGTTAATGTATATATGGTACGTGTCATGAGACCTGTCTGAGAAGGTGGAGTTGGACTGTGACTGGTGGTAGCTGCCAAGGGTGTCCCTGGTCTCTCTTGCTCATCTGACGGGCCAGGCTCCCGATCGTTCGACTCAGACCCACTCTCCCTGCGAGTCCGTCTCTTACGCCTCCTCTTCCTGCTACCAGTTTCTCCTCTTCCCTCCCCCTCTTCTCTCCCTCTCCTCCCTCTCTCTCCTGACATCTCATCTTCAACTACAGTTCTATTTATACAAACCTCTCCAGTCAGATCAAACTAAAACTCCATGCCTTAATTAATACTCTACCTTATTGGAGCTGATTCAGAGCCACTGCTGAAAGTGGTGGTTTTCTGCGGCTCAACTGCAAAAACAAAGACAAATATTATGTCCAGCAGCTAAGGTCTTTGCTAGTAGAGACTGGCAGGCATAACACAGCAAGTTTTGGGAGCAGAAAGTGTGTGCAGATGGGCTGACAGAGACAGCAAATGAGCAGTGGAATAGATGAGTATTCATTTATACCATTCGTTGGTGGATTGTAGAGCGGATCCAGCCTGGCCTGCATTTGCTGCAGCGTGGAGGCATCCAGAAGCGGGTCTTCCGAGGCTTCCTCTCGACCGTCTAGATCTCCCCGCAGCTCGCCCACCGCTCCCTGCCTCTTTATCCTCGTCTTCTTCCTCTTCGTCTTCGTCGCTCCCCCTCCCCCTCCCTCGCCCGAGCCGCCCTGTTGCTGTTGCAGTGGTTCCAGTTTGTGAGGTCTCCGAGGACTAGTCAAGTCTGATACGTGGAGGGGTCCGGGACTTTCCCGCTGCTCTCCAGCACTCCGGAAATCTGGGTGCTGGATAGAATCGTCTCTTGCTAGTGCCATCTTCCTGCTGGAGACGGGCAGGTATGATCTGTATGAGCTCCGGACATCTATTTAGCGGGCACCTATGTTTATCGGTTTCCATACGAACTGACGTACGCGCATGCGTTGTAGTGTGCGCGCGCCGCTGTTACTTCTCGACCACGCTTCTTTACACAAAATGGCTACCTCGACCAGTTCAGAGGGTGGTCCAAAGATTCTGTCGCTCCTCGCGGCAGGAGGCCCCACGAGCCCCGAGAGAATGGCGAGGCTATTTCAGAGGTAAGCAGTCCCGATCTCCTAGCGGGCCAACGTCCGTTGAAATGGACAAATTTTCCGTTGCAGGCGAGGGCTGTTCCAGGAGACGAATGCTCCCACTACCAGAATGGCCCTCCTATTGGGGAACTACCTGTGCACTAATACTACTCAGAAAGGTCTGCCGTCAGTCACCCAGCACATTACATAAGCATGGATGTACATGTCCAATAGTCAACAATATGTACTTTTTTGTGCATTCCAGCTGTGCAGGTGATCCTATCCTACCCGGGAAACATAAAGATTCTTCTAGAGTTCATGCTGAAGGTCCTGCCAGCGAGCGGCGATAATTTCCTGCCAGTGTTTCGTTGTGTTCACGGATTCTGCGTCGGAGAATGGTTTCTGGCTCCGTCAGACGAGGCTGCCCTCTTGGAGCAGATGAAGTTGAACGTAGCCGTAGAGAGAGGAGGAGGAGGAGGAGGAGGAGGAGGTGAGAAAGGAGAGAAAAGCGAGAGAGAAGGAGAGACACAGGATGAGGAGCAGAAAGGTGAGGAAATCCTTACGTAGTGTATAATTATGGGGTACAGGGAGGCAGGGAAACATACAGAGACACCCCTGAGAGTTAGGTCTCTCCTTTTTTGTTAACGTTTCCGCCTCCCCATATATCCTCTCTTTCCCTCCCTCTCCACATTTTCTCCTCCCTCCTCTCCTTCTTGTTCCGGCAGTGGAGGTAGGGAAAGAAACTAGAACCAGCAGCGACCCAAAGGCAAAGATACGGAAACTCTTCTCCAGTCTACGCTCCACCACACTTTCTCCGCAGCCCGAGCCAACCTCGGTGACCAAACCTCTCACTTGGCGAGACATCACCAAGAAAACTGGAAACCCCGCAAGAGAAGCCGTAGTTAAGGCCCTGAAAGAGCTGGGGGCGTGGTCTGTGCTATACCAGTTCTGCACCGATCTCCCAGTGTTTCAGGCCCTCGACAGAGACAAGGGTTTCTTGTCTGGCTGTGTGGGTGATGGAGGCAGTGGGCACGCCCTGGAAACGCTCGTAGAAAGGTACGTACTGTGTATATTACGTGTAGTTCAGAAACATTCACGGGTGAAAAATCCTCTCAGTTCCTTCACCTATCCCCATTTAAATTTTTAATGTGGCCAAATTTTTCCCACTGTATTCAAAGTTGGACCACGAGGTGCATAATGTACAGGATTGTGAAACTGAGGGTCAACATTGTGGGCACAAAAGTATACGTACAAACTGTACACTCTGCAATAACTTTTGTGTATAATTATACCCACAATGTTGACCCTCAGCTGCACAGTGTACAGTTTGCAGTGTCAAAGTACAGGCCACGTGGCAGTTTTGCTGTATCTGTACTTGGCCTGTCAGTGTCAGAGCTGCACACATTGAGAAGAGTGTTTAATACCACACTGGGCAACCCAATGCCAGTGTGACGCTCCCACTCTTACAAACATGGAGCCTCACAAATCCTCATCTTTTTTTTTTTTTTTGCCGTAGGTTGCACCAGGTAAAGTGTGCGGTGGTGGCAGTGTCAATTCTAATCCACCTGGCCGCGCCTCCCTACATCCTCCCCTCTCTCAATCCCCGCATCTTCACGTCCCTCGTCTCGCTCTTCACACGCTGTCTCAACGCAGCCACCTCTGCAGCCTGCGCCGCGGCTGCTCTCAACAAGGACCGTAAACCCTCCACGACGCCGGGGGCAACCCCCACAATTAGTGGAGGAGGAGAGAGGGAGGGAGAAGCGGGTGAAGGTCAGGAGCCACCGTCCATTCCAGAGCTCCTTGGTCTCATTTCTTACTGCCGAGGTCCGTCTGTGGTGTCCACCATTACCGCCAGGACACTGGCTCACGACATTGCTGTTCTCACAGTTAGTCCCTTGCCTTCTTGTGTGTATATACGTACCCACTAGGAAAATGGGCTGCTTGTTACAGTAAAGCCTGGTTCATATGTATTTCGTCACAATGGAGCCCGCGACACACCATCAAGTCATGCATCTTGCTGGGAATGGAAGTACTGTATCCCTTTACACGTATATATACAATGCGGTTTCCATTTCCGTGTCGTATGTTGGGTAAAAACCACTTCACTTGGTATAGTTATGTATTGTAAACCAGGCGCTGCGTGACTTGTATATGTTTCATGGAGGTCACAGGGTTTTGGTAGCATTCTTGAATGAGGTTGTGATTATTGCCCTGTTTTTTTTGTGTAGCTGAAAGTTTTTGCGAAGCTGTTGGAAGTAGCTGCAGTACTGCCTCGAAGCAGAGACAATGTAAGATGTTAATCTCAGCTATGAATACTATTAACCTTTGACCCTGCTCTGACAAAATAGATTGTAAAGAACCTCCACACTCTGTTGGTGTACCAGACCCTGTGTGGACTGATGCCTCTGCTGGCTTCACCTGGGCCTGTGGGAGGAGGAGGAGGAGGGGGGCAAACTGCTAGGGGGGGCCCTCACGTGAAATTAACAGTGCCCCTGGTTGAATTAGCCAATCAGACCATGAGTAGCACCCTGGCCATCTTGGAGAAGCTGCGTACTGAAACTAGTGATGAGGTAAAGGATCATCGCAGGCAATGGCTATACTATATAGGGGTAAGAGAGAAAGTAAATTGTGTAAGTTTAAGGTGTCCGAACGAAGTATTAATGTTGGTAAGAGAGGGAGAGCTAGAACAAGAGATGGGAAGAGTGTGAGCACCCAGAAAGGGAGGGAGGAAGGGAGGCAACAAACTGGAATATGCTACAGTAGGTGTACACTATGTTCTGTTTCGTGGTACAGCAACCGGGGGTTGATGGTAAAGAAGAGGCTGCTGGTCTGCCGTCAGCTGCGACACTGGATGTCACGAAGCAGTACTCCGCGTGGCAGTGTACTCAGATGGTGTTCTCTCACCTCCCACTGCTCAAGATCATCTTCAACCTTCTCACTCACTCCTGCAAGAAGGCGAGCCTCACACCACACACACACACACAGGGCACAAGTCAGTAGGTGGCAGTGTGACCTCGTGTACACCATGTGTTAATAGTGTATGGAATACATGGTGCCGGACATAAGCATCGTGCAGTTATGGTAAAACATGTGTTTCAGACTTCTTGTCATTAACCCTCGGCGCGCATGCGCAGCGAGGGTTACTGTAGTTGGGTTTGTCTGTCTGTGTGTCTGTTACTCTACATCTCACCTCTCGAATGTCTGTTCGTCCCACAAACGATACCATCTACCCAACGGGCGACGAAGGTCAGAAAATAAAGGCGGTTTTCTCTGAAAATGCTCCGTTGCAAAGCTAGAGCGCTTCCACCATTGTATGGCTAATGCCGGGAGTCGCCATTTTATTGCTGGCGGATAATGCGCATGCGCTTATATTTAGCACAGGCTACCTCGACGGGGTCCGCTTGCTCTGTCTATCTTGAAGGCACAAGAAGTCACTACGAATGGCGTGTATCGACTCTCGCGTGCTATCTACTACTGTAGCTAGCCCGTGTCAGACTCTCTGCAAGCTACTTCGCCGAGGGTTTGCACTTTAGTGCTTTTCATTCAGAACATAACACATGAAGCTTTCTATTGACTGGAACGTACAGTTGGTGTACAGTTTCAGGCTTGCTAGTCAGCGGGTGCGTCAGCGTAATGCGGCAAGCACACTACAGCAGCACCCTATATACTTCAGTTTTTACTCTTCTTAAACTTTCTCTACTTAGCCACACAAAAATAAGGATTTCTCTTTTACTTTCTGTACAATCTTTTTACTCTCTAATGGCAGACTCTGTCCCTGATGACTAGCCAGCCAGGGGCAACGGGGACCTCGACTGGAGCTGAAAGGTCCAAATCCCCACCCATCAAGACGCGGACGGAGCGACAGGAGACGCTGGTTCGCATGTTGCGAGAGTCTCTGTCGAGAAAGATCTCTGAGAAGTTGGTGGCCGCCGGGGTGGAGAGGGAGAAGGAGGAGGAGAAGGAGGAGGGGGGAGGGAGAGGGGCAGGCTCAGAGTCTCCTCCGTCCACTGTTAGCTCCAGCGGGGAGAGAGGGGGAGGCTACACTCTTCACGTCGATTCTCTTGACTCTGGCGACGAGTCAGGTGAGCATCACATGACTGTCACGTGATGACCTACTCTGTCCTCTTCCATGACAACTGGATGCTCAGCTGTATTGGCCTTTAGTAGCTGTGAAGCAGTGGGCCCTATTGTAGAGCATATTATAGATACTGCCACATTCCCTTAAGTGTGTAGAGACAGCGACTACCCTGTGCCTACTGAGTGCTAACCTTTCATGCCTGTAATCTCTCTCTATTATCCAGAAGAGTTTGAAGCTCCAAGAACTCCACCTTTTTTGTTGCCGTTTCCTGCTGAGCTCCCACCGATCCCGCCCGTCCCCACCTCGCCCCCAATGCCCCCGAAACGACGCATCTCGGTCCCTCTCGAGCCGCCCAAACTGAAAGAGAAACCGTTTGTCGACCCGCCTCTCCTTCGTCCCAAGGCAAAGGGGGTCTCCTTTCTGACCTCCGCTTCGGACCCCTCGGCTCCTCGCTACGCAGAGTTGAGGAAGAAACCAGAGTTTTTCCTGGAGCTGGCGTCTGTCACTCTGAAGTGTCTCTTTGTTGAGATCGTCTGCAGTAGGCATGACGGTTTGCGCAAGATACTGCAGGACAAGATGAAGCCCGAGTTTGTGTCGCAGCTGGCCTGGCTCGTGTTGAACGTCGGGTCAACAGGAGACTCCGCCCGTAGCTCCGCCCCTGCCGGCCGGACAAAAAGAGGAGCGAAGAAGGCACGACTGTCAACCACGGGGGTGTCAACCGTCAAACGAGACCTATCTAAACTGGGCCTCACTCTAATGGAGATGGTGCACGAGATGATAGTGGACGATACCAGTCGTCACTTTCTCCACGCCGTTCTCCTCCACGAGCTGGGGCTGACGGCCAAGTGCTGGTCTCTCTCCATCCCTCCGACCTCTCTCTCTGTCCTTGCCAGGGTCCTCGTGTGCCGGATCTATCTCCATCCTCAGGATTCATCGCCGGCTGAAGACGACCCTCTCGCCCTTGCCATATGGAGAGGGTGAGCAAGCTGACAAAACCTTTTTTCTCTTGCTATTGTGTGTGGTACGTCATACTGTACATTTATGCAGGTTTCTGACTGCCGTGGCTGAGAACGCCAGCTCCACTGACGACCAAGACGAAGGTTAAATACGATGCGCGATTGGATTGAACTAAGCATGTAGTCCAAAACACTTACACGTATTAATGCCATAGCCCTTGTCCTATGATTGTAGCAAAAACCAAGGAGATTGTATAGCTATTCAACTGCCTTATGAAAACTCTGAGCAGCCCCTCTGTGTTGTTTCAGCTCTTGTCAAAATTTCGTTTTCGATTAAGTGAGTGTGTATATATTTCCTCCGTGTGTGTGTGTTGTATATACACGTGCAGATGTAGGAGCGTCTCACGTGCAGCTGATGTGTCTGGTGTGGCACAGCTTCTCCCAGGACACCAGGGGAGCTCTCCTCTCCCAGTGCGCCCACTCTGTGGTTGCCGTCGCACAGGCCATCGAGTACGTCAGAATACCGGATATCGGTCAAAATTGGGTGACACATTAAAGGGAATGTGGCAGTATATAAGGGCGAAATTTTACTAAAGATAGTACAAAAACTAGGGGCACAGTGAAAGAATGAAATTGAGTTCCATTTTTAGTAACATTTCTAAATTTAGCCCTTATATTATACTGCCACATTCCCTTTAATTGATTAGTAGATAGTTAATTATAAGTGGAAGATCATTTCATGACAAATGGAATGTATGTTTTGGAGCACGCATGTAATTCATGACAGTTGGTAGAGGTCACCCGTGTGGTCAAGGTCAAAGGTCAAGGTGGAGGCAGTTTTTGCATTGTTCTCTCTCCGTACAGGAGTGGAGTGAAGCTCCACCCACTGGCTGTATCTCGTCTTCTCCTCCTACTTGACTACATGCTGTTCCAGTTCAGTTCTCCTCCTCCTCTCCTCACAGACCAGGTATTACGTCATCAGACGCCATCAGCCTCAGCCGTCCTTGCTACGGTAGCAAATTCCCCTAGTCAGACGTTTACAGGGGCATTTATAATAACCACGATTTTTTACACATTCTCACTATACTGAAGTTCATGGAGCGTATTATTTTTTCGTAGAACTGAGACTAAAAATTTGTGTGCTACAAAAGTTGGGAGGGCAAACCTTTTCATATCTCTCTATGAGTGTTGTGTGTGTGTCTTTCTGTGTGAAGGTGAGGCACAATTTCTACCCCGTGGTGGTGGGCGGAGGAGACGTGCGCGTGTACATGTGTGAGCAACAGCTGCAGTACTCCACTGCCCTCTCCAAACCTCTCTCCCAGTCGTCCTCCTCCTCTGTCACTCCAGCCGACAAGGAGACCTCAGTCCTCCTCCCTTCTTCAGTGTCTGCTTCTCACGGTAACCTCCCATTCCTCTCTATGTCGTACATCTCTCTTTGACCCACTAGAACTGCAGTCTGTGTGCCTGTCGCCACATTTTCTGCCACAAAACAGCCAAATAATCTCCCTTTCCTTGCTTTTTCTTCCCTCTTCTTGTCAATACACATTTGAAACGCTGGCCAATGAACCAAGCCGTAGCTTCTTGCACCTAGTTTTCTTGCTCAACGAAACGCAGCACAGTTGGTACTGTTTGGGGCAACGCTGGATTTAATGTCCCTCCGTCGACTATGTAGGTTCTGATGGTTGGGTGTCTGTCTCTCTTGTTGCGTTAGGTCCGAAGTTCTTCAACGTTCGTCCCAGCTCTCTCCACAACGAGGAGGAGGAAGAGGAGGAGGAAGGGGAGGATATAGTGGACCCCAGCATCGATGGAGAAGTAGGATCAACATCGGATTCTCTCAGTGGGTTTGACTCAGAATCGCTCTGTACTCTTTCGTGTCCAGGCGTGCAAGATAGTGTTAAAGCTGGCCGGGTCGACTGAAGGAGTGAAGGGCTACAACGAGCTGTGCCAGGCTATTGTGGTCGTGATGAGTTGCGGGGTGGACTATGCCGGAGAAATAGGGGATCTTCACGGAAGAGTTCTGGTGAGTGGGAGGGGGGAGGGGAAATGAGCAGAGAAAGGAGAGAGGGGAGAAGAGAAGTGGGGGTGGGAGGAGCCTTGGTTTTTTCTTGAAGGGAGAGGGTTAATGATTTCTTAGGGATTTTGCAGGGGTGTCTTGTATCTGTGATTGAAAAATGTACTAGTCCAAGATGATTGGTTGGGAGAAGGGGCAGTGCAAAAGGGTCACCTTCTATTATGTGTGTGTTTTGTATACTGTATACTGTAGGCAGCCAATGCAGCCCATCAGTGTTTCTCTCTCTCCCTGACCCTGCTGCACCACCTCCCTCCCTCTCACCACGCCCTCTCGTCCATTGTGGACGGCACCGGCCTCTCTTGCAAGGTATTGTACACACACACACACACACACACACACACACACACACACACACAGTGCCAATAGTGTAGCGGGTTGTAGGGGGATACCGTTGCACTCCACGCTTACATTATCTAATTTTACGTACTGTAGGACTCAGTGGGGGCGTGTATGATGGTCTACACGCTGTATCTCGGAATGAGGATGAAGATGCAACAGATCGAGTCCGATGATGTCACGGTGGGTCATGTGACTTACGTTTTGATGTCACGTGACTCTGTCCTTACCCACCCCAGGACACCCTGGTGGAGTCGGAGTACTCCAGAGACGAAGCGGAGGAGATTCTGGCCCGGGTATTGTCCGTCGTTGATTCCACTGAGCACTTCATCTCCCAGATCACCACCATCCTCAACGAGGTGACGAGACCCTCTTACACACTTCTTCTTTCACCAGCCTTTTATTGGACGAAGGGCCAGTACACAAACCGACAAAGATTTTGATGTATGTATGTAACTGGATTAGTGGGTTTTTACTGGAAAGCCACAAAACCAAAAACAACTTTAGACCTATCGCAACAACGTGTGAACGTTTCGGTTAAGGTGTTGGTTCTGGCAGGAGGGCTCTTATTGGAATAGAGGCGGTATATATTTTCCTTCTCTACGTGTGCAGTTCCTGTCACTGGAGGAGGAGTCGGTCGTGTTGCCTCTGTTCTGTGTCATTGCCCTGGACTTCCTCATCTGTCTCCTGACCAGGGTGGTGGTGGACGAGACTGAACCAGATGAGGAAGAAGAAGAGGAGGAAGAAGATGGGAAGAACGCCCCCAAGACCAAGTCACCGGTTACTCCGGTCCCTCCTCCCCCACCCGTTTCCTCTTCTAATAAGAGCCCACCACCACCTCCGAAAGTTGGCGGGGTTGACGAGCCAAACCAACCGTATGTCATCTCTTCGAAAGAGGAGGTGTTCTACTCAACCCACGGAGAAGGTCTTGTGAATATCCTTCTAAAGACCACTGAAAAACTGCTCGTCTATTGCCGTCTCTATGCCATGATTGGTAATCAAACCGGGGGACGACCCTCGTTCAACGAACTCTCACAGACGGCGCTGGACGGGATAATGAAACTTGCAGGTCGCGATCCGCTCCAACCCAAGGACACCAAACCTCTATTCCACGCCCACATCCCTGACGAGGTACGAGAGCGGCTCAAGACGTGGAACTCGGCCCTGCTCATCGACCCCGCGCACAAGGAGAAGCTGTGCAACCACGACCTGGACAGCTCTGTGAGCGACATCATCGTCCAGTTCCTCAATCTCCATCTCTCGGCCTTCACCGGCCCTCGGTTCTTCGGGCCCACCCGCTGCTTCAAGAGCACCCTATCCTCCCTGCTCTCCCTCCTCTCGACCCTCTTCGAGATGTGTCCACCTCAAACCTTCACCGTGCCCGAGGAATCGACCTCGCTCCCCGCCAGGGGGTCCTCTCTTCTGTCGGGCCTCGTGCCCCTGTCCTGCGACGTCATGATGGAGTTCTGCGGTGCCGACATGCTTAAACTGGTCAAGATCTGCGGAGATAAACAGTTCTCGCTGGCCGTGTTGGAGCACAGACTCAGACAGAGCTCGAGGCTTCTGCAGCTGCCGAGAATGACGGGATGTAACCTGCTAGGGCCTCTGTTGGCAGACTTCTTTGGCCTGCTGGGATCTCTGCTGGACGATGCGTCCAGTAAACCTGTCCTCTCCACTCTTGGTCCTGACAACACTGATTGCCGTGAGTACGACACCCGCCACTCTCCGTCACTTCCACTGTTTACCAGTCGTGTTATGTGCTGCACAAGTATTTCCTCTTTTGCTGGTGTTCCATAGCCCACAAGTGTACCGTAGAGCGTGCAGATTGAGAAACAATTCAATCTTGGTGTTCGCACGCATTGGGTTTTCTGTCCAAAATGTGAGGGTACTCATGAATATGCTAATGAGCTTGTAAACAAGTCCTGAAGATCTTTTTTAGCGTTCCATCCATGCAGTTGCAAAATCGTCCACTCGTGCTTTCACGAAGTGTAGGCATAGCTCAATGAGACTGCCGTACTTGTCACAGCTAAAACTGGCCAACTCTTTCCAGACGTTTGTAGTCGGATAGTAGCCATTAGCTACATGACAGTGTGATACTCCCTGTCTCACTCCGCGTCAGATGTGGTGAGGTTGGTGCTACTGGCTGGCTCTCCGGACACCACTGGGACTGCAGTCATAGAGAGTCTCAAGTTCCTCTCCAAGCTACTGAGTCTGGCCCAGAACAAGGGAGAGCAGGAGAATCGACATCTCGACGGTCTGGTGGCCCAGGTCAACCTCATTGGCCAGGCCGAGTTAGCCAAGGTCAAGAACCACTATTACTGAACCTCCTCTCTAATGAAACATTGATCCCCCTCTCTCTCTCGTAAATATTTGACCCATTCACTTCTGGTTCTGGTATTCTGTGTGTGTGTGTGTGAGTACAACTAAGAAGAACAAAGAAACTGTCTGAAAAACATCATCCTTGCTACACATGTATATATAGGTGTGTATTGCAAGCACTAGTGTCCTAAGCATAATATCATGACTACCGGGTGTAACACAATAGTACAAAAGCTGCACGTATCTCAACTGTATGTCCAGTGAAGCTCCATTCCCCTCTCCCCCTCTCTCTGACCCTGACCACAGGGCCTGGAGCAGTGGCTGCGGAGGCTGGTTCTGGGGTCATCCAGTGACGGTCCGTCTGAGGTGGCACTCAACGTCTCCCACCTCCTCAAGTTTGTCGAACTCCTGACCATCGAAGACAGGTCTCCCCACCCCCTCTCTCGTCCTCATCTCTTTCTCTCTCTCTCCCTCCCTCCTCCCATTCATTATTAGCGGGAAATTTTCAATATTGTGCATGAAAACTGTCACTTGTTTTTGTCCGTACTCTGTACCACATGGTGATCAATGTAAGAAAAGGGTTGTGCTGATGTCTCTCAAACTTCACAATGTGTATGAATTCCTTCCCTATGATTTCTGCTGGCATATTATGTACATAACTGTAATAGATTTTGCCATACATGTAGTAGTGTTGTACACATTGTTCTGCCTCCAGTCTGCTGAGTCCGGGGGTGGACTCTACCCTATTCACCACTCTCCTGCCCCTGGGAGGCCAGCTACTGACCGACATGACTGCCCAGCCCAAACTCCTCTCAGTCTTTGTCGACTACTTTCAGTGCCTCGTCCTACTGGCCGGTACCGGTAACACTCGCGGACACATCTCCCTCGTCAAGGTGGTGGAGGGATGGTTTCCGGAGTGCCTGGCTAGACTGAGTAGCGAGACGGACGCTAATCTTCTCCGTAAGCCGCAGGCTAGCGGGCCCGTGGCGGCCATGTTGGTGTACCTGGGTCAGCTGTACTCTGCCGCGTTGCTGGCGACGGACATGGTGAGGTACAACGAGAAGAGGAGAGTGGCTGACGAGGAGGACTCACCACTGATGGTAGGTTGACTGGTGGGAGGGGAGGGGAGGGGTTAGTTTGTTCGTTCGAGTGTGCTTTGTTTTCACTAAACCTTTGGATTCGTGTCCATTCGCAATTTATAGCATAGTTCAATTGTCTTCCTCAAGAAGTCGTGCTTTTTTCGCCACTCAAAACCCTGTTGGTAAACTTTGTAGGACCTCATCTTTACCAGAGTGATGTTCATTATGTCTGTAATTGGCAGGAGTCTGACTCAGAGGAGGAGGACGAGGGAGGTCCGTCGGGAGGCAAAGACGATGAACACTCTCAGGGAGAAGACTCTGTTAGTCTCTCTCTATTCTCTCTACTTTCTTCTTTCTGACTTTCTTCAAAAATCACCACACGTGTATATGAATAGCATACAATGAAGGTGCATAGTTTTTCGGGGTGAGGCTCCATAACCTTTGGTTAAACTGAAATTGTTGTCAGCGAAAGGTTTTCGGTTAAGCCAGCAAAATCCCCATCTTGTCATCTGTCCACCCTCCCTCTCTATTCAGGACGGGGAGGTCCTCAACAGCAAGCTGTGCACATTCACCGTCACCCACAAGGAGTTTCCGTCACCAGCACTGGTACCACTGCCACACGTGTGGACTGGTGGACGGCACTGGAGCCTGCACCGTCTGTGCCAGAGTCTGCCACAAGGTCCCTCTCTCTCTCTCTCTCCACTCATTCTGCTGTCGCAGCAACTCACGGGCGTGATACCCACGCAATATTTGTTCGTACACTTCTTCTGTTGAATTGCGAAGTTTTAATTCCAATGTGTGTGTACTATGTCACGTTGTATGTAGGGTCACGATTTGACGTACTCCAAGTCAGGGTCGTTCTTCTGCGACTGTGGAGCTAAGGAAGGAGGTGGTTGCAAGGTATATATGTACTTACAATTGATGTATCAATACATTCGCATAGATAAATGGGGGCAGAGCGAGCGGCAAGACAAACGTTAGCTGTATGTGTGGTGTATATATATATATATACCATTGATGCATGAGAAAAAGGGGGTGGACAGAGCCATTGGACACACTTTAGCATTAGCATTATGCATTGGCTAATGTGTATGACAGTGAAAAGGGTGGCAGTTGTAGTCCAATCTGTTTCTCCCAGGCGCTGGTGAAAAGGACGAGTGATGCGAAATCAGAGAGTCTGTCTTCACATGACGGAGGACTGCATCGTCTGCTCTGTTCTCTGGTGAGGCTGGCAGTGGGAGGAGGAGGGGGAGGAAGAGGAAGGGGGGAGGGAGAGGAAGGGGAGAGAGGGACAAGAAGGATCAGTCACAGCAGGCGGTGTTGAATCTGGCAACAAAAGAGAAGAAAACCGAGAGAAAGTCATTCTTCCCAACAGTCCCCATTCTCCGCCTCATGACCCAAATAGAGGTATTGAATGTGTGTCGAGTGTGCTTTATAACTTGCTGGACTCTCTCTCTCTCTCTTCCTCTATCACTGATTTTGCAGCATTACAAAAGTGAACTTCGTGAGTACCTGGTAAGTCTATGTGTGCACATACAGGTGCTGTCCATTTATATAAAACCACAGTAATGTCGCAATCTTGTTTACTCACCAGTATATAGTGCATTGCCCAGTATGCCACTTGTTCATGTTCTTTAAAGTCTCTCTCCTCTCTCTCTCTCCTTCATATTCACTCGTTTGCCCACTAGTAACCTTACCACGGTCTGTACATACCAGGTTGATGGGTTGATGTAGACCTTACTGGGAGTTGGGGGCAATTTTACAGTAGGTGTATCTCTCTTCAGGATGCGAGTCCTCTGTGTGACAATGTCCAGTCCATCGTATCTCTCCTGCTGCCGAGGGTCGTGTCCACCGTAGATTTCTCGTCCTACAGCTGCAACTCTGCCCGACAGGCCATGCTCGACCTACACAGCAAGGAGAAGACTGTGGACTATACAGACAACCTCATGGTATGGTCAGCACGCCGAAACTGTCGCAAATAACTGTTTGTTTCTGAGTTTATCGCCTCGTATTTCGAATTGCTCTTTGATATACCTATACTTTCACCAATATGTAATTAACATACTGACGCTTGCCCCAGAGGCAGGGCTACTTACTGAAAAGAAAATTTTTACACCAACAAATTTCTCGGGGTATTCTACCCTAAGTTTGCGATTGGAATATTTTTTGCCTCTCTCTTCCCGCAGGCTGCCACCCTCGGTTCCCAGGAGGGAGCATTTGAAAACGTGCGGCTCAGTTTCCAGGGCGACCAGGGCCAGCAGCTGCGTCAGCTTCTCTCCTCCAACGCCATTCGCCGCGTCGCCATGTGCGCCCTCTCCTCGGTCAAAGGTCACCGGCAGCACCTGGCCGTCAACCACGATAAGGGAAAGGTGAGGAGAATACAGTATGGCAGGTTTTTTTCTTCCACGTAAGAAAATGGATTTTCGTTTGCCTAACTTTCTTTTTTGGCCACACAATGCATGCAAAATACTCCTTGTGCAATTAGTGCCTCTCATTTTCTCCCCCGTCTTTCAGATAACCTTCCTCCAGTTGTTCCCCATCCTGCGACAGACCCAGTCAAACAGAAGGAAACTAACCCTCACAGTCAGCTTTGCACACACACACACACACACACACACACTCTCTCTCTCACTCACTCAGACACACTTGATTACTCTAACCGGGAAACTTTGTAAATACAAGAAAAAACTTTCGCAGATCGCTTTCTCTCAAGTTTCTCGCTGTATAAGGAACCTGTACATTTGTGGTGCCTGCCTGCTCTTCAGCTGTGTATTACGTGTGCAGTGTGTCCCATTCTGTATGTACATGTGTGCATAGCTGTGAGTGATAACGGCAGTCATCTTGGACGATACAGGGACATTCACTGGCAGACTCTGTGTTCCTAGTGGTTTCCACCCAGTGCCTCAAAGGAACCCCGTACCTGCCATACATACAGTACAATACATACAATACATTGACAATAGATGGCATAATAGGACAGTGTGCTGAGATTGTTTTGCGTGGGGATCCTGCATACGCAACGTTTGCCGATGGCTCTGTATATTATACCTCAAAGTCTGCAAAATTTTCAGTGTATTCTCCGCAGTGATGCATTTCTTCTGATGTGTCTCTTACACCTACTGATCGCGTGTGTCTCTCTCCGTGTGTGCAGAGGTTGAGTACTGCGACAGTACCGTTCACGGTCATCTCTGTGGCGCACAATCCTTGTCACGAAGACTTTATGGTCGTATGCGGACTCAAGGCAAGCCAAGACACCCCTCCTCACCTGCAGCCCTCTTACTCCCCTCCTTCTCCCTCTCTTTCTCCTCTTCTCCTTACCTCTCTCCCTTTCCATGCCTCCTCTCCCCCTCTCCATTGTCAGGAGTGTCAGTTGCTGGTTCTCAACAGCTCAGCTCAAGTCACCAGCAGAGCTGTACTTCATCCCTCAGTCGACCAGGACGGCTACATTGTCAAGGTCTGCCTCGGGCTCCCCGTGTGCTGATCCAGAGCTATTACAATGCAGTCTTCGTAGTAGTTAAGTACAGAGGGTATTTCTCCTCCATACATTCTCTATGGGAAAGACAATAAGTGTGCGACTTCACCACCTGAAATGAATGGTTCTTTGCCATACAGTACGTGCAGTGGCATTCAGTACATTGTGAATGAACAAACCTCCCTATCATAGCCCCATACATCTATGATGCTAGTTACCATGCCCATCCCTATGTACTAATACTACCGTACTTAGTGATGTGTGCATCACTGTATGTTGGACACATTTCCTGCACTGTATTGTGAACCGGGCTAAGGGGGTGCCAGTACCATGGTTGTAGCTGCAAAAAGGCTCTTTCGAAGACCAGTCCAGTCGGTGTCAGTGACAGTCTGGGTCATAGGGAGCCGAGAGTATGTCTTCTCTTCCAATGGTCGCTGGAGAGCCAGTCTCCACACTCTCCCGGCATACCCCAGAAGAGATACACACACACGTGTATTTTTACTACACGCACTAACAGTAATGAGGTACACGCAGAACACACCATTGTTTTAAGATTCCATTCGAAGTATATACATTGCAAAAACCTTAGACCCCTTTACAACCTCAAATGTGTTTTGGTAACTTTGGTTACCACCCAAGAGTAGTGCAACTCGGTTTTTTTTTCCTTTTTTTTTGGACGCACAATAAGTACAAACACAAGTGTATGATAAGACTGGGGAGTGTGGTGGGTTTCTTTTTTTCCTCAAGGTTGTCCAGGGGGTGTGGTTTGTGTTTTGCCACCTTGTTGGCTCGTACTGTACTAATGTACAATGTGTATTGTTGGCTCGTACTGTACTATGTACAATGTGTATTGTTGGCTCGTACTGTGCTATGTACAATGGTGCTGCTGCAGGCCATGTGGGTTCCTGGCTCCCAGACGGAGCTGGTGGTAGTGAGTGACACTTTTGTCAAGATATACGACCTGCGAGTGGACCTCATATCTCCGGTCTACTATTTCGTCATTCTCACGGGGAAAATCAAAGACGCAACTGTGGCCGTCACTGGAGAGGTACAGGTTATGTATGGATCTGGTAGAAAATGGGTGCACTGCGTTTTGGGCTATCGAGTGGAAGAAAGTCGATTAGTTGGTTATACTCTAGCTGTTCTTTGGTTTTCGGGGCAAAAACCCATTTGTCCATTTGAAATCTGAGAACAAAATATTTCACCTTACAAGCAACTTAATGCCAGTGGTACACAAAGGCACACAAGACGGCTATTATGCCCCGAAATCTCTATTGCTGACTTGAACGAATATGTACGTAACTGAACGAATTCACTACTTTATACGTTAATGTGTAGACAGCTTGGTGTCTGTGTGTGTTTGTGTGCAGGAAAAGTTTGTGGTTGTGATGAGTGCCAGTGGTGTGATGTACAGCCAGCCGGTCATCCCAGCCTGCAATGCGGTGGAGGGTCCGGTATACTTCACCATTGACCTGGGTGTCATCTACCCCTCTGGTGGTGTGGCCGGGACCACCTCTCCTCAGGGGGAAGACGAGGTAATGTTGTGGGAGGGAGGGAGGAGAGGAGGGAGGAGGGGAGATTGCTGAGCGTGTGTGTGTGTACTGTTTGCTTGGCTCTGTGAAGTAGAAACTCAGTTATTCATGCAGGTGTAAAACAACTGTATGAGTTAATGTGGTCCAAATGGCTCACTTTGTTACACGTGTGTGCAAATGAGAGACGGGTTTTACCACCTGTAGGGAGAAGAGAGTGTCTTTGGAGGAGGCGTGTCCATCTACTACTCTCACACTCTCAAGATGCTCTTTTTCAGCTTCATGAACGGTCAGTTCAGGACCCCTCATACCCTCTAGCCTTTTGAACCTTTCTCTCCACACTCCCTTTTTTATTTCACCTCGCTGCTCTCTTTCTCTCTCCCTCCCTCTCTCCTCCAAAGGCAAATCGTTCATGGGGAGTCCCAACAGTACAATGACTGAAGTTCGTCTGGTAGTCAACATTCCTCTGAAGGCAAACGGAGGCAGTAGCACCAATAGCAGCAGCAGTAGTGGAGGAGGAGGAGGAGGAGGGGAGCAAGGGGTCTGGACCGGCTCTAGTCCAGTGGACTGAAGTTCAGCATCATCCTGGGCTGGTGTGTGCCGTCTGTCAGGTCAGTTGCATCCACAGACCACTAGCTGCTCTAGTAGTGAGCTTGGAGTTAAAAGTTCACAGCCATTTAGTACTGCAAGTTTTGACCCTAACACTACATTGCTATTGTAACTGCTCTAGTAAAGGGAGTCTGGACCTTTAACAGTGCTCCAATAGGATTGCCGGAAACGTTTGAATGACAACATTTTTGCGAGATTCTGCAGCAAACTAGATCTCCAAATTGCCCAAAAAAATCAAATACTTACCACAGATTTTACGCTGCACATCCGGGGGGCATGCAATGCACAAGAACAAATGATTAGGCCGCAAAAATATTTTGGGAGGTAGATTCAACTGAATGAAATAAACTGAAATGGAAAGTGCATTGTGCTCTGTCCCTTGTTGTGTGTGTGGCTGCAGAATAGCAACAACCCAGTGGTGCTGCTGGTGAAACCGGAGCAGATACAGGTCCATGAACTGAAGCCACTGCCAAACAAGGCCAAGGTCCAGGGCATGGTCGCCATGAGACAGCCTCCCTCCTCTGACAACGTGAGATATCCTCTCTTCCTTCCCTTTTCCCCCCTTCTCCTATTCTCGCTCCATCTTTTGACAAAGTGAGACTTTTTTTCTCCCCGTCTCTTCCATCCTCCCTTCCTCTTTCTTGCAAAAAATGCAGCATGAGGATTAGACCCTTACCTAGATTATGTGGGACTAGCTATAATTCAATTTCTTTGTGGCTACTGTGGTGAAAATCTCCCATACTGTAGCTGTCACTTTACTAGTTCTCTACCGCTGTCTCTCACTCTAATGTTCCACAGACGGCTCACCATCGGACCACCCTCATCATTCTCTGTGAAGACGGGAGTCTGCGTATCTACGTCGCCAACAACAACACCAACACAGAGTTCTGGATGCAGCCTCAGTTCAAGCCCACCAGCCCCCTCGTCTTGCTCAAGGGGCGTGGCAAAGCCGGGGTCCTCGTGGCGGGGGGAGACACAGCGACAAACCAAAGTTCCCCGTAGATTTCTTTGAGCACTGCCAGGCACTTCCGTTCAATGATATCGAGGTAATGTAAAGCAAATCAAGAAATGAATGTGAGGGTCTAAGATAGTCCACGAAAGCTTTGCATGTTACAATGAATGATCTACCCTAAATTCCAAATTTCAATTTCAGGTTCATCATGATGTTGTATACGGCGTAGTGTAAGCATAGTTTGTTGCAACATAGATACATTGTCAACAATAGTAAAGAGGAGCTAGTAGAAGGGGCACGGTGCGAAGTTGTAGCTAACACATCTCCTTGAGGGCAATGTTCTAGTGGCAACCAACCATCAGTAGTAGTTGCCGCTACTTACTGCACATTGGCCGAGTCATGGTGTGTGAAATAAACTCAAGTCGAGGTTGCAAAATCCGAGATGGGCAGTGTTACTCACTTCCCACCACGCACCCTCTCTCCCTCCTGACCACTCTCTATGAGTGTGTGTCAAGAGTGGTGGAGAAGGTCTGTGTGTGTGTGTGTGGAGTGGGTTAACAGACTAGCCAATCCTTGGAATGTGGCCACGGCATACAAGTACAGTATATACTTACCCATCAGACGACATGTGGATAAAGCTTTTATACCGCACTTTCTGCAGACTGTGTAGTGTGTAAGTGTGCTAAGTGTGCAACACCACACCTAACTTGTACAGTTATTACAACAATTCGTGCGTAACGTAGTTTTGAGAAGTTGAACTGCTAGATGCATTTTTTGTGTTGAAAGAGAAAGGGAGAGGAGAGAAGTGGACAAGGACGGAGGGTGGGAGAGGGAGAGAAAGGAGGGAGAGAAAAGGGAGGATAATGAGATATGTTTTCCTCCACCCACAGTTCGGAGGACCGGACGTACTACGTGTGTACAACAAACAGCAGCTGAAGCACCGACTCAACCTGAACAACCTGTACGTGGTGAGCACGCGCAGCAGTGGGTTCACCGTGGAGGTCACCAGCAACGTGAGCGGTCAGGTGACCATGGTCGGAGTCAGAGTGATGCTGGGACTCAAGTCCCTCGAGAAGGCTCCGTCCTTTGTGGAGATATTTGGACGAACACACCCGGTACGCTGCTCGTGGGTTTTTGGTGTACTACTGCTCCCATTGAAGTATATACAGTGCTTGAGCCTCCGAGAGAATACTCTGAATAAAGGACGCTAAGATTTGTGATACACTGTTTTAGTGGTTAAAACCGTTTTAGTCCTGTGAAGATTATGCAGTGTGTTTTTTTCAGGTGTCATTTCCGGCCAACTGCCATCGATGGGTGGACATTCCTTTCACCAGAGAGGAGAGTCTGCAGGCTGACAAACTCATAAAGATCAACTGTGAGCCACGCACCGCATGACTGCCACGCATACACTATCACTCTCCGTTTCTCGGCCTCGGTAGTCATTTTACACCCTCTGAACGTCAAGCGCAGTTCAATACACAGCTTCAATTCATTTGCCACATAACTGAACAACCTCTTAGTTAAAGTATCATATAAACCAGGAAACTCTAAAGGGAGAGAATGAAGTGAAATTTCACCGAGAAAGTTTGCACGAAATGCTTGTCCAACTGTACAAGTATATATATCCAAACCTGCAGAATTTTGTGGATGTGATATAGAATATCTGTTTGTTAATTTGCTGATCTTCACTCCTCCAGTTGGTCCCAGTCAGGACTCATCGGGAGTCAATATAGTTGACGCCATTCTCGTGTATGGGCAGGCCAAGAGTGCCTTTGGTTGGCCTGAGGGCCCCGGTGATACCCTGCTCCCTGCCAAATCCCCCGCCTCAGGCGGACCCGGCCAGTCGACGGTGACGGGAGGAGAGAGAGGGGAGGAGGAGGAAGAGGAAGAGGTTGAGGCAGGAGAGAGCATGGCCGCTATTCCTCTCACCCACCTCGGCCGGTAGGGCAATGGGAGGGAAGTACACTAGGAGAAAGTATGAGGTTTGGGTTTGCATATTCTAATAAGCCAATCCTGCATGCTAATATGAAGGAACTATTTTTACATGCTAATGGGAGGGATGTACCTACTGAATGAGACCAGAGAGTGATGGTTGCATTCTCAATGTGGCAGTTTAGAATCTGTGTCTTCCCTCCGTCTCACTCTGTAGAATGGTCTGCGATGCCTTTTCTGTGCTAGCCAACCGCAACATCTCCGTCGAGAAAAACCAGGTTCGAACCTTAAACACTGTCCGTATTTCCGGTGATGTAATGATGATGTCATCTCCAGCAAACAGATCTGAGTGGGATTGTAACCCAAGCGACTTCGTTCCTGATGTACTGCGTGCCGCATGACCTGCAGTACCACATGCGGTTTCTCCTCACCTCCCTGGTCCATGGCAGGGACCACTTCCACCAGTTCAAGGTCTGTCTGTCTGTGTAGCTGTGAGTGGTGGCCGAGGTTGTTTTCAAGAGTGGTTTAGAGGCAGAGCAACAACCTTAACACGCAGCCTAGCTGGGCAGATCTATATACTCTTACTGTGTGTGCATGTGTGTGTGTGAGTTTAGGCAAAGAAAGGAGATCCTGTTTGGTTTTGATGCAAATTGAAGTGCCAATCTAGTGTCTTGAAACAATATTTGTTTTGTAAAGTGTGTGTACGGGGCTATTCTCTGTAGGACAAGATGCAGTTGACACACGTGATCCAGGCTCTGTCTCCTCACCACCGGCAGCAGAATCATCGTCCTGGTTCCAGTCTTTCCTCCGGCATGGAACCGGAATACTTCCAGTATCTCCTGCTGATGTTGCTGTCCATTGCCAGACACCGCCCCCGTAGTCTCGCCACCGTGGCGACGGAGCTCGCTGATCTTATTCTGGGCGGGAAAGAGAAAGACGATGATAAAGAAGAGGGTGGAGGGGGAGAAGATGGGGGAGAAAGAGGAGATCGAGATGAAGATGCTGATTTTGAAGACAAGGAGACGAAAGTGATGGTTGATTTTCTGAACATTCTCAACAACGGCTTCTGGCAGCTGTACGTCCTCCGTTGTTCCAACCCTGCGGTCTCTCCCGTCATTAACCCAGGTCTGTTCCTGGTCACATGACACTCACATGAAAACCACATGAAACTTACGTAACTAAACGTGGTCATGTATATACAGCTCAGCATGAAAGTCTGAACATGAAAGCAGCATGAAATGCTTGTGACTAAAACCAACGTCAAAGAAGAGTTTGTGACAATGGTGGAAGCGGGGTATATAGATAGTAGGGTTGCAGGAATGTTCAGGGCCATTGTTGGTAGTACAAGATCCCACACTGTGCTCTCCATTACTCCTGCTACAGCAATGTAACCCACTCATCTCGTCCCTCCAGCCAGTACACCGTGGCCGGAGGGAAGGGTAGTGGGGAACATTCTGCATATACAATCTCCTTGTTGCAAGTCGTGCGAAATGTGTATAATAAAAAAAATCACAACCTTCGAAACGTTGATGCCATGCAGATTCTCCATCATGCATAACACCACAATTAATGCATGGTCGTTGCATATATGTCGGTCTCTCTCTACTGGCCATAGGATTCACAGCTTTGGACGCCACGGTCCTAGCAGTCACAGAGATAATGTGGACCTTGGTCCACCTCAACCATCGCCTGGTGGACACCGTCCTCAAGTTTACCATCCAGTTCCTCCTCACTCCGGTAGGCCGCCCTTCTCTCTCACTCTATCTGTAGTGTTGATTGTGTTTGTGAGCAGAACTCTCAGATGTGCGAAGCTGCGCTCTCTGTCGTGATGCGCATGCTAAAACCGAGGAAGAAGGAGACGGAGAAAGACGCCGGAGAGAAAGTGGTTAGTCTATCTTCCCTCTCCTTTTCCTCTCTGCTTCTCTACCTTTCTTTCCTTCCTCGTTTTCATAGCTGCCCTTTCTTGCCAAGCTCTTTGTGTTTTGCTCTTATCAGCTACTGGGAGCCTATGTACAGCTGGGATCTTACCCCTCAGAGCAGAGCATTATCAGCTACTGGGAGCCTGTGTACAGCTGGGATCTTACCCCTCAGAGCAGAGCATTATCAGCTACTGGGAGCCTATGTACAGCTAGGATGTAACCCCTCAGAGCAGAGCATTTTCAGCTACTGGGAGCCTATGTACAGCTGGGATCTTACCCCTCAGAGCAGAGCATTATCAGCTACTGGGAGCCTATGTACAGCTAGGATGTAACCCCTCAGAGCAGAGCATTATCAGCTACTGGGAGCCTATGTACAGCTAGGATGTAACCCCTCAGAGCAGAGCATTATCAGCTACTGGGAGCCTATGTACAGCTAGGATCTTACCCCTCAGAGCAGAGCATTTTCAGCTACTGGGAGCCTATGTACAGCTGGGATCTTACCCTTCAGAGCAGAGCATTATCAGCTACTAGGAGCCTATGTACAGCTGGGATCTTACCCCTCAGAGCAGAGCATTATCAGCTACTGGGAGCCTGTGTACAGCTGGGATCTTACCCCTCAGAGCAGAGCATTATCAGCTACTGGGAGCCTATGTACAGCTAGGATGTAACCCCTCAGAGCAGAGCATTTCAGCTACTGGGAGCCTATGTACAGCTGGGATCTTACCCCTCAGAGCAGAGCATTATCAGCTACTGGGAGCCTATGTACAGCTAGGATGTAACCCCTCAGAGCAGAGCATTATCAGCTACTGGGAGCCTATGTACAGCTAGGATGTAACCCCTCAGAGCAGAGCATTATCAGCTACTGGGAGCCTATGTACAGCTAGGATCTTACCCTCAGAGCAGAGCATTTTCAGCTACTGGGAGCCTATGTACAGCTGGGATCTTACCCTTCAGAGCAGAGCATTATCAGCTACTAGGAGCCTATGTACAGCTGGGATCTTACCCCTCAGAGCAGAGCATTATCAGCTACTGGGAGCCTATGTACAGCTAGGATCTTACCCCTCAGAGCAGAGCATTATCAGCTACTGAGAGCCTATGTACAGCTGGGATCTTACCCAGAGCATTATCAGCTACTGGGAGCCTATGTACAGCTGGGATCTTACCCAGAGCATTATCAGCTACTGGGAGCCTATGTACAGCTAGGATGTAACCCCTCAGAGCAGAGCATTATCAGCTACTGGGAGCCTATGTACAGCTAGGATCTTACCCCTCAGAGCAGAGCATTATCAGCTACTGGGAGCCTATGTACAGCTAGGATCTTACCCTTCAGAGCAGAGCATTATCAGCTACTGGGAGCCTGTGTACAGCTAGGATCTTACCCCTCAGAGCAGAGCATTATCAGCTACTGGGGGCCTATGTACAGCTAGGGTCTTACCCTTCAGAGCAGAGCATTATCAGCTACTGGAAGCCTATGTACAGCTAGGATCTTACCCCTCGGAGCATGCAGATGATCAATGGTTTGTGGAACTGTTGGTGGCTTGTGCAGACTTTGTTATCATGGCTGGAGGGTATTTGCAGTTCCCCCTCAGCTATCAGAGTCTGCTAGATCAGACGGCAGTCCGGCACACTCACCCTCTCAGTCTGTTTTCTTGCGACTGTGTCTAGGGTCCCCTGCTTTGGATACATTCACCCTAACATGGATCTTTCGAATCCTCCAATCTATGTACCAGATTTTTGTCTACTTTGAGCATTAAGAGTAGCTTTCAGAACGTGGTGCAAGTACACGACGGACAATTGTTTCAAGCAGCTTTTATTTGAGACGCAAATGGAGAGTTTAGTGTACTGTGGGATCTATCTTGCGTTGCACCATCAGTACTCTGCATCAGCCATTACATGATTAGACTGTTAGTCTTGTGTGTACTCTGTGTACTGTAGCTCTCACCTGAGCCAGTAGAACGAACTCCAGTAGAACCAGCTGATCAAAAGGAGGAGGAGGAGGGAGAGAGGGAGAGGAGTGCCACGCCCTCCCAGCCGCATGTGGCCGAGGAGAGGAGGAGGAGGAGGAGGGGCCAGAGAGGGAGGGAGAGGGGGGAGGAGGGGTAGGGGAGGCGAGGGGGTGGATGGAAGTCATGCACGCAGAGGGCGGAGCTCCACCTCCCCCTGTTCCTGTGGGACTTGAGGTTAGTATGGAGAAACACACATCACTGTACACTCAAATATGTGGGTTACTGATGTTGAATGAAACCAACTATTAAGAATGCTTTAATAGTAACTGTTTTCGAACTCCTGGGAGAGGTGTGTGTTCTGATAGAGGCTCCTTTGGAAGTGCCAGTCCAGTCGGTTGTCAGTGACAGTCTGGGTCATAGGGAGCCGAGAGAGTAGGTCTTCTCTTCCAATGGTCGCTGGAGAGCCAGTCTCCACACTCTCCCGGCATACCCCAGAAGAGATACAACTGAAATGTCCTTGGTGTATTTGCGTTTGCTCTGCCTTTGCCTTGTTACCTCGTCATTGTTGGACACAGTTGCTGTGCTTAGCATAACTATTTCAATGAGAATTGTGTGTGCTACATAATGCTTTGTATGTGTCTCCTGCAGAACTTGTTGGCCAATCATGCAGCTGCTCTCCAACAAATAGCTTCCAGTGAGTCCACCTTTTACCAAATACAGCGTCCACCATCAGACATTAGAGCACACCACGTCATAGCAGCATTGTGTGCAAGTTTCTCTCTTCCTCTTCCTCCATTTCCTGCAGACCCGGAGCAGTTCCTGGTGGGTCTACAGGGGGTACCAGATGAAGAGACCATGATGAACCTGGCCATTGCTCTCAGTCTTCAGGAGGAGGTATATACAACTAAGGCTAGATCCTCTCTTTCATACGTGTTCCCAATGAACCTATGAATATGTGTGAAGTGCTTGAACATACTGTGTAGATACATAGGCACTCGTTTGCTTCAACACACAGTGTCATGTTTACATGAAGTAAATACCTAAATAGAAATCATCAATTCCATAAGATCATTATCCCAATGAACCTACATATATAGTACTTGAATACTGTCTATAAGCACACGTGCCTTGTTTGCTTAAAACACGCATATACGTAATAATTTGGAACCATTATCGTTAATCCCATAAGTTTAGCAGTATAAAGTAGTCACTAATATGTATGTATGTACATGCCCCACTCCTCCCTTCACAAGTATACTGAATACCTACATACAGGCCGGAGGGAGTCCAGAGGCAAACCAGGCTCTGCAGGCTGCTCTGCAAGGTCTTGCAATCCCGGTAGCTGCTCTCGAGGCGGGGCTGGGGAGGGGAGGGGGGCCGGGGGCCGGGGGGCAGGGCGGGAGAGAGAGAAGAGGAGGAGGAGGGTGGGAGGAGGAGGACGAACAAGACAGAGCTGTCTCTCAAGGTGAAGGTGAGCTATAACTGATTGTGAGGAGTCGCAAATTGTGCCTGTTGGTTTGACTGGGAAATGAGATCTCGATAACATTCGCATTTGCGGAAAGTTAAAAGGAAGTTGAAGTACACCAAAATGTGGCCACCCAACTGGTTATAATGTAGTGTGAACGTGCAATCTTTGTATGTTAAATTAGAACTTGGATGCTTAAGGCCGGTCTCCATATAGTCCTACTCGGTATTGTGCGGTCTGGAGATGCTAACGATGTAAACGCTGACTGAATTTGCGAGACTCTTTGAGACCGTGCAAGTCTGGGTCTTGGAATAGATGCGTAGTCCGCTCCCGAGAGTGCTGACCTCACAAGACCGAGTGTTGTATGGCCAGTCTTTATGCTGTTGATGCATACTAATCAACAGAGGAAGACGAGAGGGGCGGCGACGAGGAAGAGGGAGAGGGAGGAGGGGGAGAGGGGGAGGAAGGATTTGGGGAGATGCCCCAGGTGGTTTCGTTTGACGTACAGGGAGTGTCCTCTCACCGCCGAGAGGGAGAGGAGGAGGGGGACGGAGATGGAAGATCTCGCTCCAACAGTGAAGGGTCGTCTCTATATGGTACAATGTCTTAGAGCACACCCGAGCCAAATATCGTGTCGATTCAAGTGCTCGATCATAGCACTCTTTCAATGTACACACTTTAGTATGCTTCAATACATTGATATTTGTGCGTGTTAGAAGCATGTAACTGCTACTTTAATCACCAGGCATGCGCGCCAAGGGTAATCACCAGGACCCCTTTATTAGACTTCCAAACTGGGTAGAGGTTTTCCAGTCAGCCACGTTGCCACTTGACAAGCTGCTTATTTCACTTCTCCAGAAAATGTGATGAGGGAAGCCACGGCAACGCCGTCCGAGGTTCGCGCTCCGTCTCCACGTGCCGTTCAGAGGATGGCCTGCAAAGACCCCCGCAGTGCTGCCATGGCAACAGGCTCCACCTCCACGGCGTCCAGAGAGCCGAGCTCGGAGACGGAAATGGTCAACTACAGCAGTGGAGTTGAGGATGACCCTGGTATGGATGATCTCAGTGGTGTTGGTAATTAAACAAGATCCAGTGAACCTTTTTAGTATAATTGTCAGGATTTAGTCCTTATATACTGCCATATGCCCTATGTGTAAATCGTGACACTTGCATTCACTTGCAAAAACATAACTGTCTCATATCAAAGACGTGGTTTCCCAGCTTCTAAGAAAGAGCTCTTGACCTGAACCAAGCAAGAAGAACATTCTAGAAGAAATTCTGTCAATGCATGCAGTAGGATAGAACCGACGTTTCACAAGATCTCTATGAAATCACTGTTTCTCTTTCGTCTTGTCTCACCAGATGAGAGTGACCGTACGCTGACAGAGACACTGAGCCAGATGGAGTCCCCCTCCGGTGCGGCGGTGAGGGGGGAGGAGGTGGAGGGGGGAGGAGGGGAAGAACCAACTGACTCCCCCGCCAGACTGGCCGAACTGAGGAAGAAGGTACTGACGTGCATGTTGGAGCAGCTGTACCTGGTGGAGGTGGCCGGAGGCATGCGCTCTATCTGCTTCATGAAGGTTGGCACCTCTGGATCTTTATTCTCTCCTCTAAATCTAATGGACAATAATGCACTTGTGAGCATGGTTCAGTGAGAGAGCCCTGGCACGCTAGCAAACTGGCGGGCACACTGATCTCATCTGCCACACTCTCTCTATCTCTCCCCCTCTCTCCCCCTCCTCCTCAGTTGATTCTGTTCATTGCCGAGAACCTGGAGTGTAACAAAGAAGACTGCGAGTCTCTCGTCCACATGCTCAAGACTTTCCTTAAACAACTCATGCTCAGCAGAGAGGTAAATGTGATACATACATTAACAGTTAATGCGCACGGTGTCAGTCCGTGATGCTCACGAATTGTATCGAAAAATTTTCAGGGCTGGTTGCATTCACCCAAGACTTGCACCAGTGGGTGCGGCCAGCAAAAACTGAATGCTCCTATCTCTAACTGTGGAAGTGCTATTGATATCTGTGTGTGTGTGTGTGTGTCTGTCTGTTCCATAGGATGTCAGTGAAATGGTGGAGAGAACCCCTCAGAACGAAGTTCTCTTGCTGTATCTGAGGTTCTTTAACATTCTCATGTCCCGCAAGAAGATCAAACACGAAGAGGGCAAGGTAGTGAGCGGGAGAGGGGGAGAAAAATGAGAGACTGATAGTTCCATCCGTAATCCTTTGAGTATAATTACCCCCACCTTCCCCCTCCTCCTCTCCCTCTCCCCCTCCCGTGTGTTTCCACCCAGCCATCCTATGCCTCCAAGATGCTGTGGTTTGCGACAGCGAGGACCCTACTAACCGACCCTCACCTGCTGCCGTTCTGTCGGAGGTGTCTCATTGTTGTCATGGACAAGAAGCAGTGTCTTGAAGTGAGCGAGGTGAGCAAAAAAACCCATATGCACTGTTATGCTAGTTTTCGGTACTCGGAACGTTCTAGAGAAGGTTTGGAAATGTGTGCATGCAATTGGATAGCACGATCTCAATTGTACACGCACTGTTAGTCTGACATGAATTTGTTGATGCAAATGGTCATGTTTACACATAGGTATACTTACAACTGCGAATTCTGCATACTGTGATGCGATTTTTCTCACAGGCTTCAGTTTGTTGTTTAACCCCTCGTGTCCTCACAGGAGCCGACACCGCTCGTCGGGGCGGTCCTCCATCCTAAGTTTAACCCTCCTCTCACTGACCTCAGCCCCTTCTTCCAGAGACACTACGTGAAGGGAACCACGGATATCTTCATTGCCTATGGCCGCCTCCTCTCTGAGATCACCCTCGTCCTTCCCAATCAGGTTCAGTTTTTTAAAATCTGCTGTATCTGTTTTAGCAATTTAAGGTAATATTGCGTCGTGGCCCAAGTTGATTTACACTGTACATGTGTGTGTGCTAAACTCTCTGCAGCTGAGGAAGATGAGTGAAGTTACAAAACACCTCCAGACCCCGGACCTAGGAACCAGGTGGATTGACACTCTCTGTGACGTAAGAGCCGCTCTATAACTCTTGTGCAGTATAACTTCTGTGTATGTATGTATGTATGTATGTATGTATGTATGTGTGTATGTATGTATGTATGTGTGTATGTGTGTATGTATGTATGTATGTGTGTATGTATGTATGTATGTATGTATGTATGGTATGTATGTATGTATGTGTGTATGTATGTATGTATGTGTGTATGTATGTGTGCTTTGCCCTGGATTGCAGTTCCTTCTGAAAGTGGCCCAGAGTACTGGTGTTGGGAGGAAACATGTCAGGAAGGTACATACACACTTCACATGGTTCAGGAACACAATGAAGCCTCTGAAAAAAGGTCCCTCGGAACAATGGACGTCTCTCCATAAAGGACACTTGGTTCTGCCCTATATACTAATAGATTTTTACATCCGAATAAAGGACACCTCTGATACAGGACACTTTCAATGTACCCAAGGAGTCCCTTATTCAGTAGTTTAACCCTAACTGTCTTCTTCTAACACACGTACCTCTCTACTCCCTCTCTCACTCACTGCTTTCCTTCCTTCCCCCCTCTCTCCCAATGCCATTAGCTGCTGTTACTGTTGTGCGGCTCGAAAGATAGCTACCGTCTCACCAGAGATGTCCATGCCCTCCACAGCTTCATGAGAAACATCAGGTCAGAGTTGGCATAACTACAACATTTGACAAGCGATTGAGCGCAATCTTTTAATGTGCATGACGTTTGCACATTCAGAGTTTATAGTTTCACACGTAATTGTGAGATTAAGAGCTTCATGCAGTGGTGTCCAGATGATGAGTAACCACATCGCGACGGTCTTCTGACTGGTCGCAGTATATCTGCAACCTCTGGAGAGATTGATGTGACTGACATGGACACCATACTTTATCTCTACCATGTCCCCCAACTAGCTCAACGGTTTCTTTCTTGCCCTTTTTTTGGGTTGGGCATTCTTCTGAAGGCAGTATTTTCCCATGTTCTACTGGATAGCAACGTTGTAGAAAACGCCGTCACGCTCAACATTGTGTGTGTGTGTGTGTACAACAGTTTTCTCCAAACTTGCTTCCCGAAATGGTGTATGCTTATTGTTGACATTGTGAGTGCTACAAATGATGGATCACACATTGTGAGTTGTTCAAATGATGGCTGTTGCAGGGAGATATGTCACTCTCGAGGGTTCAATCCCGACAGAAATCTCACTGGAATCCCACTCAACCTCTCCTACAAGTCAACCCTCTCTCTGGTGAGCCCCGATGATGTAATGCCGATATGATCCCCATTGTGTTGAATGCACTGCAATGATGTCATAGATTGAGCATCTGAAAGCATGTGACGAGGTTGCCTGTACACGAACCTCAAACTGGCAGACTTTCTGCTTGGAGGACAAGAGTAAGTAAAAAAAACTAACACCTCCATAATTATCTTTACCTTTTCTCCTCTTGTCTCCTCAGCCACCCTTCCCTTCCTCTTTCAAACCCTCTTCCTTCTCGACGAGGGGTTAGCCCCTCTCGTATTGCAGCTGGTTCAAGTGGCTCTGTCGGGGATCCCGCCAGTATCCACGACGACGGGGAAGGAGCACTCGGGGAAAGAGGGAGGAGGGAAGAAGGGAGGGAAACACGACGCGAAGAGAGAGGGAAAGGAGAAGAAGGAACACAAGGAGAGCAAGCCAGCCTCGCCCACTCCAGGTGAGGCTTGCCCCTCCATCTTTCACTCATCTCTCTCATTTCCTTCCACGCTCCTTTTCTTCTTGTTCTCCCCCCTCTCGTTCCTTCCCTCCTCAACTTCCCCCCTCTAGCTCCTGATAAGGAGAAGTGTCAGGGGCTTGTGCGACTCTTCATCTCTCACCTGAACGACGATACTCTCCTGCGGTTCATTCGTCTCTTCCTCCTACAACCAAACTCCTCCTCCCTACGCTGGCAGGCTCACTCCCTCATTCACACCCTCTACCTCCACGGTACCTGCGAGGTCAGCTGCACACTCCCTCCCTCCCCTCTTCTTCTCTCCCTCCCTTCCTTCATTCCGTCTTACCTCACTCTCCTTCCTTACTTTTTCACTTCCCACACTTCACTTCACTTCCCTCCCTCTCTTCCTCTCTCCCTCCCCCCCTTCATTCCGTCTTACCTCACTCTCTCCTTCCTTACTCATTCACATCCCCACTCCCTCTTCCTCACTCTCTGTGTTCAATTTTGTGTGGCCGGCCCATGAAAATTTTTACCCATGAACTGTTCATTTGCTACTGAATCGTGAAATAATTATGTATCTCCTTGAAAACTGTGCAACAACTGTGCACCACCTCAACGATGTCAATAATATACAGTAAGTCCCTGTCTCCACAGGACCAGACTAGAGTGGTGGAGCTTCTGTGGAGGATGTGGGGAGACATGCCCACCTACGGTTTGAAGGCCTCGCAGTTTGTCGACCTCCTCGGCTACTGTACCATCAGCACACCTCACATCATGGAGAAAGTAGGGGAAACAACTACTGTTGCTTTTCCAAAACTAACCGTTTTCCCGGAAAACCTACGAAAGTACTGTTTTACCTTAGTGAGCATTTCCAGCCTCTCTGTTCGTTCTTAGTAACAGTGTCTCTGCAAGTGTGTTAAATCTACTCGGATTTTTGAAGCCCTAGGCTCTGTCAATGTAAGAGGACGCTACGTAGAAGGACAGAAGGGGTTTCTTATGTATGTCGTCTAAAATGGAAAAGTTGTGTGTGTGTGTGTGTGTGTGTGTACTTAGCACTGTCACTTTTTTGTGCTTATTCTTCTTCTTCATCAAGGAGACTCTGTGCCAGTCGTATGTAGAGAGAGCCATAGCTCTGCTCAGGACCCAGAACAAGATGGTCGCCTCCCACCCAAACTCGCACATCTACTCACAGCTCCTCTCCGTCGTCGACTTTGACGGCTACTACCTGGAGAACAAGCCGTGTCTGGTGTGCAACGACCCGGAGGTGCCCTACAGCCTCATGAAACTCTATCAGATGAAGGCCGAGGTCCGCTACAGTCCCTCTATGATCCTCTGCAAACTCACCGGCTCCTTCACTCTATCACAGGTCAGAAAACCCCGAACACTCTTCTCTCTTCAGAGGAGCTAGCTAGCTCCAGAGATTTGGTGGGGGACAATCAGCCTCACTAGCAACAAATTTAGATGGTAACAGGACACCTACCATTTGGGGGTCGAAGTGTCCCCTGGGAAGCATATTCAGGGGACAAATGAAGAGAGATAGAAGGACCATATCCCCATGGTGTGCTCTGGCGCCAGCCCTATGATTTCTCTCTTGCGCTAAGGATCTTAACCCCTCTTAGCAAAGAATCGTAACTTTATCTAATCCTGCCACCCATTGTCCTCTCGCTAAAATGCACAACTTCAGGCCACCCTGTTTTCAACACATCACTACTGAGAATGATCAGCACACTCTGCATTACACTCTCCTGCTATAGTAATAGTATTCACGAACATTGGTTGATCTGTCTCTGTCACCATTTCTCGCTAAAAACATGCAAAAAATACTTTAGGCCGCCAATATTCTGTGCCAGTTGCAGTATTCCAAACCCTGCATTGACAGTCAACTTTCTGGGAGAATCCTTTCATTCCTAAAGACCTTCACAACACTCTATGGGTGCAGGTGACACTGACGATATCGGACATAAAGAGGTCTAAGATGGTGAAGACTGTGAACGTCTACTACAGCAATAGGACCATGCAGAACATCATCGAACTCAAGAACAAGTGAGCCACACCATCAACCTCTTTCATGGACCCTCTTACTGTGTTGCATGCCACGATGGACCCTCTTACCATGTTACATGCCACGATGGACCCTCTTACCATGTTGCATGCCACGATGGACCCTCTTACCATGTTACATGCCACGATGGACCCTCTTACTGTGTTACATGCCACAATCCGTCCTCATGAGAGGAAGACTGTCTGATAAGTTACCAGATGGTTCTGAGGGTGTGGCTGGAAACATGAAACCAGCCCCTAACATAATTATGACTCCCTTCCACTGTTCGTTAGGCGGAGTCTGTGGCTAAAGGCCCGGAGCCAGACACTCCTGCCCGGTCAGAATGAAGTCAAGGTATGTAGGTTCCTTCCCCATCTACACTGTCGCTTTAAATGGGCTCTATTTGTCTCTAGATTGATTTCCCTCTGCCCATCATTGCCTGCAATATCGTCATTGAGTTTGCCGAGTTCTACGAGAACATTCAGGTATATAGTATGCTCTCCTAATGTTATCACTGTAAACCCTGGGGATATTGATTCGTTCGAGTGGCATGCATAGGCAGTGGTGTCCAGATGATGAGTAACCACATCGCGACGGTCTTCTGACTGTGGTCGCAGTATATCTGCTGCCTCTGGAGAGATCGATGTGACTGACATGGACACTAGATAGAACATAGCCTAGCACTGTATGCAAACAGGAGTGAGCACACTCAGTATATACACACATGGTGAATGCACCTTCTAAATGCAAGCTCTTAAAGCCTTGCCTCTAAGTGTAGTTTTTTGGTCTTACCTAAAGAGTATGGTGTGGCTAGTGATGGATGTTGGCAGTGTGTGTGTGTGTGTGATGTAGGGAGGGTCAGAGGTCTTGCAGTGTCCACGATGCCAGGCTGCGGTGTCAGCCCATCCTGGAGTCTGCTCTACTTGTGGGGAGAACGTATACCAGTGCCACAAGTGCAGGTCAGACAGAGCCTAATAGCCAACACACACACACACACTACCTACTGGAGTTTTATGCGGTAAATGCCACACACCATTCAAACTGTGAATGTTTTGCTTACTTGTCTCGTACTGACATGTGTGTATATACATCTAGTCTAATGTTCACTATGTTTCATTCATATGTGTGTGTGCGCGTGTGTGTGTGTGTGTGTGTGCATATGGTGTGAGTGTGTGTGTATACATATATATGGTGTGTGTGTGTGTGTGTGTAGGGCCATCAACTATGATGAGAAGGACCCCTTCCTCTGCAACTCGTGTGGCTTCAGCAAGTACGCCAAGTTTGAGCTGGTGGTTGAGGCCAGGACGTGTTCAGCAGTCGACCCCATTGAAAACGAAGAAGATCGCCAAAAAGTATAATTATACTTACTACGTAAACTTAGAGCAGGGAACTTCTCAATAGTTGTGAACAGTGTTTTTTTTGGATGGATCAAGTTTTGGAATCGAGTCATATTTTGTTCTTCCACGGAAGTTTTCCTCTGAAATTATCTTGTCCTTACTGCTGACAGACCACGGCCCACATCAGCCAGTTGCTGGAGCAGGCCGACAGGATGTACAAGATGTTGGTGACACGTCGCAACGAGCTGGACAGTCTTCTCACCTCCCTCGCCAGTGGCATGCACATTTCCACCCCCGTAAGAACTTACTCCACCCCTGTAAGAACTTACTCCACCCCCGTAAGAACTTACTCCACCCCCGTAAGAACTTACTCCACCCCCGTAAGAACTTACTCCACCCCCGTAAGAACTTACTACTAAACACATATTACTCCTCCTCCTCCTCCTCCTCCTCATCATCATCCTCCTCCTCCTCCTCCTCCCAACAGAGCTTGTCATCACCATCATCCTCGGAGACCAGTGGTGTCCACAGGGGAATACAACAGGTGGCCCAGCGCTACTGCGTGGAGTGCAAGTCGACGTACCTCGACCTGAGCAAGGTGGTCCAGGGGGTCCTCGCCTCCAGGAAGGAGCTCGTTAAGTACGACCAGAAGAAGGCGGAGCTGGGGGCGGTGCCTTCGGAGCCGTCCACTCCGGCTGTACTCTCAACTCCGCTTGGATCTGATGAGGTGATTTTGTCTGTGGTTTAGCCTCTTATTGCCTCCTGTTCTCCTCCTTCCCCACTTCTCCATGTAAACTAACCTAACCTAACATTTCACGGCAAAATGTATTCCGAAGCATGGTTAAGAGGAAAGGGCGGCATGCAAAAAACCAAATTATTCAGTTGTGCCATTTTATCCCCCCCAGCTCCCTCCATTCCCCGGAGCTCATATCCATCAGAGCCACTGTTTTGGATGCTCCTCGGCCGCCACCGAACATTGCATCACACTTCTCAAGGCCTTCGCCCACCGCCTGCAGACCCGACGACAGCTGGTGGCTCGAAACGTCATCCGAGAACTGGTGGACTTTAACCTCCGCAACGGAGGCCCACAGATGCAGCAGAAGATCCGCGAACTCTTGTGCATTGTCACGCGAGACGACGCTGCCGCTACCGCAGAGCTGAACAAATACGTGTTTGATCGAGTGTTGCAGCACATGACCCAGAATCGCACCACCCCCACCTTGGTAAGGACCTGCACACGGCACAGTGCAACCTTTAGACTTATGTCTCATGATGTAGTTTCAATGTATGGGTGCGATGGGTCCATGTATCATGTAATGACAAATGTTTTTTTATTTTATGCAACCTTGTTCCATGGGCCCATTCACAGCTGTATGTACTTGGCTAATGCCACAGCTGTGCTGTTTTATGTTGGCCTTATGTTGTAACTCTCTGTTTTGTGGATGATCAGTGTATGCATGTGAATGAAGGTGTGTTGCGTTTTCTACAGGCGTCTATGGTGAGACCAGAGATTCTGTTGCTGACGACGTCACTCCGTATGGAAGACAGCTGCTGGGAGCAGAGACTCAAAACAGGTCCAGTAGGAAATAGGGACTTCACCAGCTCTCTCCTTCACCTTCATATAACCCCCTTTCTTCTCTCTGAGTCTCTTCTTTCTCCCTGCTCTTCCTCCTTCTCTCTCTATTCTCCCTCTCTTTTTTCGTTACCTTATTTCTTCCTTTCTCTGTACTTTCTCCTTCTCCTCTCTCTCCTTCCTTCCTCTCTACCCCCTCTCTCTCCTTCCCCCCTCCTCCTCTCTCCAGTGGTCAGACTATTCCGGAGGTCTCAGAACCACCCCAGTCCAGCAGTCACTGCAGCAGTCACTATGCCTTGTCTCAAGATAATCCAGAGCCTCATTGACCCCAAGGAGCCCACCACCACCAAGAACAAGGTCTGGAAGAGATACTTGACTTATTGATGAAAAAAGCCAGCCTATATATCCTATGTACATGCCTATTTTAGGACGCACTGACACCATACTGTTTCATATTTGGACAAAAGTACAAATTTCAGACTAAAAATGTACATAAGCTGCTCACTTTCTTTCGTTCTCCAATAACGTATTGCTATCAGATGTATAGAGTAAAATGTCGAGGCACTAGGAAGTGTACCATGTGCTAAAGGTTGCAGCAGGTTCAAGCCACGATTGTGACAGTGTTGTGTTCTCTAGGGGAAGACGGTGGCAGAGATCAGCAGTGTGGGGAGAGGTGGCGACAGACTGAGAGTGAAGGCTGGGGAGTGGTTGGGAGGGAAATCCACCTTCGAGACTTGGAGGGAAAAGGCCCAACAGAAAGGTATGTGTGTACGCCACCTCTCATTGAAGCTCTGAAGTATCAAGTTTTTGTGAGAAAATTTGCTGATTTTGAGCCACAGAAATTGTAACTGTTCTCAAGAATTTTCTGAATTTTGTACATCAAAATGTACTATACAACACGAAATTTTGACACACTGTGCTTGTCTGTAGATGTGTCAGCGATGGAGGCTGCAGAGCTACACAGACACAGGCTGGCTGAGAAATACGCCACCATCTGGAGGAGCAAAACCCAGAGAGGTAGGGGAACCACACCACATCACGTGACCATGTTTTGAAAGTCATGTGACAATCACATGTGAAATAACAGCTCATGCTTTACTTCATACTAAAAAAAGAAGAAAGAGCGAGAAGGGCTTCGGGGCTTCACTAGAATACAAAATACATACAGAAACCTGGCAAAACCTGTCACATGACGTCATTCAAATGTCATGTGACCTCTATACTCCAGCGCCCAAGGTCCCCTCCACACTGAAGCAGGTGTCGTGGCTTCGCTCCATGCTGTTCAACAGCTCGTCTCAGTCTGCCCGTCAAGCGACGGCCAACATCCTGTCGAGCCTGGCCTGCGGAGAGACGAGACAGCGGCAGGTCCTGGACCTCCTCTGCTCCTTCCTGGACGAGGTGACGGAGGCCGGGGAGCACGCCCAGGAGTTCCTGGAACTACTGAGGAAACTGACTGACTGCGGGGAGAGCAGCAGCAAGTGGAAGGCCTACCTGGCCATGAGGGGAGTCCTGCCAAAGATCGGGACACTCATTGGGAAGGTTCGTTGTGTGGGGGAATGGAGGGGGGTTACTCTCTGCTCCCTAGCAAAGAGGGCTTTCATCTAGTCCTCTGAATTGAGAGGTTTTTAAGTTGAACGACTCAAAAGTAGACTGGAGTCTTGTAAATGTTGCTGCTGTTTTGTCTGTGTGTTATTATTCGTGTGTGTGTGTGTGTGCTGCTACATGAGTTGTTTCTCTGACTGTGCAGGAGATAGCTCACCTGCTGGAGCTGGAAGAGACCAGTCTCAGCTCCGACCTCTCCCAGGGCTACGCTCTCAAGATGCTCACCTGTAAGAATCCACCACACTTACAACACCACATTCTCTTGACCCTCCTTTCCCCAACGTTCACATTTTCTCCCCCTCCTTTCAATCTCAAGCTCTACTGCAGTCATTTCTGAGCGTTGGGAGGATCAAGCAACACTTCAAAGGTAGACTGGTTGGAATGGTCCTGGACGGATACCTCTCTCTACGCAGGTATTCTAGTCATGTGGCATTGAACTGTCCGTCCCTTGCTAGATATGCTATATATGAAACTGCAACATTACAAGAACACTTAGTTACAGTATATACTTTTGGCCTGTCCTGTTCCTTAAATTTCATTCTATAACGCTTACTACACGTTTTGCCATGCAAGTCTAAAGAATGGGCAATAGTTTTGTAGTCTGAAACACCCTGCACTTCACTTGCATTCATTCTCCTACAATAGGCTTAGCCCAAAGCCAGTGGCTTCACTCCAAGTCTCCCCATGTTTTATCCAGGCTCGTGATTCAGAGGACCAAACGCGTGGACGAGACCCAGGAGCTTCTCCTGTCGATGCTGGAGGACCTGACGTCGGGAGGGGAGGAGGAGAGGGAGGCCTTCATGGCTCTCTGCGTCCATTCTCTCAACAAACTCAAGAAGAACGACCTCGTCACTCCTGTCTTCATCTTCGAGAGACTCTGCAACATCATCCGCCCCGTGAGTATATTATTATACGGTGTCTGTACTGCCACAAGTCCAATGCTTTCTGAATTGCCTATCCGAGTCTGTGGCTATAGAACGAGTCTGTGGCTATAGAACAAACGAGGAAGTGAACGTTAGACGGGCTGTGTGCATCTGAACTATGTTGCATAGTTATGTGCAATACTCAACACCCATGATTATAGCATTGGCAGAACGAAGAAACGAGGGAACATTGCTAATACGTGTATGGAAATAGTCAAATTCTCTCTGATTTCTTTCTTCCTGTTTCTACTCCGCAGGAGGTGAAGGACGTCCAAGAATTCTATCTGTCACTGGAGAAGGATCCTCAGCAGGAGGAGTTCCTGCAGGGCCGCATGCAGGGGAACCCCTACCCTTCCTCCACCGCCGGCCTCGGTCCTCTCATGAGAGACGTCAAGAACAAGATCTGTACTGGTCAGTAGTGGGCCACTACAGTACACTTTGAACTGTATATACAACAGGGGACTCTTGAATGGAGAAACCTTTGGCCAATTTGTCAAAAACAAACACTTTTATGGATCTTTGATGTTCTATCGGTTCCACCCATTGCTGTGGATGTGTGGTCGATGGCCAAAGTACTATTTGTTGTGAACCCTTATGTATACATACTAATGGTCCAGGCCTTCATTTCATTGCCTCTCCAACATTGAAGTTTGCTAACTTTGCGTTTTGTTCAGATTGTGAGCTGGTGGCTCTGCTGGAGGATGACACGGGGATGGAGCTGCTGGTGTGCAACAAGATTGTCTCCCTGGACCTCCCTGTCAAAGATGTCTTCAAGAAGATATGGTGTGCCCATTCCAATGTGAGGGACTGTACACAACAGCATAGGAACGAGGGGGTGTGTGTAACTGGGTCAATATCTTTATGATCCATAAATTGTTTTGTAAATCACTTACCACACATAGTGTAGTTATAAGTGTAAGTGCATAAAGTCACAAAATTGAATCGTACCGTAACTGCCTATTGAGGTCTGCCTGATGGTTGCTCTTCCTCTCACTCTGGCCAGCATGGGGACTGTATGAGAGTAGTGTACAGGATGAGGGGTCTCCTGGGTGACGCCACGGAGGACATGGTCGAGAAACTGGACGACGGTAAAGACAAGAACGTTGACGAGGAGCAGGAGTTCAAGATGGCCGCCGTACTCAGCCGCTGCGAGGGGTTGGACGCCGTCATGTGGCGACTTGGATGTGTCCGCGACTTCATCCAGGGTCACCAGCTGATATCGGCCGCTCTGAAACTCCTCGACTGCTGCATCAAACTAGAGGTCTGTGGGGGAAAAATCTCTCTCTCTCTCTCCTACCATGTTTTATTCCCGTTCCTCTTCCCCCTATGTGTGTGTGTTTGTTCTCTCTCTGTATTATCTGTGTATGTGACAAATCTCAGGTGAACCGTCAGTATCTGCTCCAGCCACATCTCAATACTGTCAACACTCTTCTGGCTGTGTTCAACCTGGTGAGTCTGTCGCAATTGCCTTTGCTTACAAGCAACCCTCTGCCCTGTAGACGTGTATATGTTGCGATGCACGCTTGTTTTGTGTTGTGTTTCTCTGAAGCAAACACTGATCTGTCCAGCCACAGTACTCACTTTATGATGCATGGGCTGCAGCTCTTTTTTGTATGTAGTGTACATACGTATGTGTTTCGCTGTTGACAGTACATATTAGACTATGAAGTCAGTATCGTATGTTCTGTGTGATGTATGTCTCTGTAGGCTGTGGACTATGAAGACCAACACAACACCAAACTGGGAGCCGACGTCTGTGAACACGTGCTGGAGGTGACGGAGAAGATCCTGCAGGAGGCCAGCAGCAACCGCCCGGTCCTCACACGATCTCTCAGCCAGCCCGTGAGACTCACACCTTCCACCTTATTTATAACACGTGTGGGTTTTCGGCCACTCAGTGCAAAGTGTGTCAGTACGTAAGGGCTAAAGCTGGAAATAAACCATAGGACCCAGTGACAGGCTGCATAGTATCAGTTTCTGAATTTAGCCCTTATATAGTGCCACATTCCCTTAATGTCAAGTTTCTAGTGAGGAATGAGATAATTTTTGTCATTCCTACCTTTCTCTGATTTTTTTCCTAGCCATGCAAAGTTGTTAACCCTTGGCGCGCATGCGCAGCGAGGGTTTACAGTACTTGGGTCTGTGTGTCTGTGTGTCTGTTACTCTCAATCTCACTTCTCGGGTGTTTGTTCGTCTCACAAAGGATACCACCTACTGAACGGGCAATGAAGGTCAGAAATTTCGAACGGTTTTCTCTGAAAACGCTCCGTTGCAAAGCTAGAGCGCGAAAAAGCCAATATGCAAATACTCAACGGCTTACTACGGCATGATCGACCCGCGTGCTCTGCGTACCTCGGAGTCACCAGAAGATGCAACGCAGGGCGTGTATCGCCTCTCGCATGCTATCTAGTAGTGTAGTTAGACCGCGTCAGACTCTGCGTGAGCTGGCAAGAGACCACGAGTAACAGCTAAAGCTAAACCCAGCCCATCAATTAGTGGTACGGCGCATGCGTTTACTTACGATTCTGCGTCACAGTTCGCCGAGGGTTTGCACTTCAGTGCTTTTCATTATCATAGTTACAGTGCCTTGTGAGAGACTCTATTTCTTCTGTTTACCTCACTGTATCTGCTGTGCCGCCAGGGTGTGGGTGAGGAGGGGAGCGAGAGTCAATTAATGACATTCCTGGAGCACATCTCGGCCAAGTTTGTCCAGTCAAACCCGTCTGTCCGGGACAGGCTCCTCCAGATTATCCCGTTCCTCACGTTTGGCGACGTGGACAACATGAACACTCTCCTGGACTACTTCTCTCCCCATCTCGACTTCGACCAGTGAGCCCTGCTTTTACCGTTGCCTCTCGCACGTGGAACAGATGTGACACATCTCTCTCTTCTAAGGTTTGATGCTCAGGTTTCTCCTGAGACTAGGACCTACTTTGACTGTTTCTGTGTCGTCACCAACGGAATAGGAGTAAGCCCCTTTCATCCCATCACTGTTATTACTTCACGTGCCAGCCTTTGATAAGCCAGGGTGTATTCTTCCCTTGCCGTGTGATGAGTTGTGAGTTGTATCTGTACTGTATTGTTCAGAGTGACCCGAGTGGTAACAAGCTGAAGGAGCTGATCATGGAGAAAGGCATCACCAGCTCAATCGTCAACTACCTCCAGACAAAGGTCCCTGCCAAACTGTGAGCCACCTTTAAGAACAAACACCACTCTGGCAATATGCAGACACACACCACAGCACAGGCACAGCCACGGCACAGGCACACTGACACACCAGGCACATAGGCACACCAGCTTATCCTGTACATTGTTTGCCCTTGCTTTGCTTTAAACCTCGTCGTTGACATGTACGTTCATTCTTACGGCATGCTCTTCAACAAAGGGATTGATTGTAATACTAAAGCTTCTCATGTACTGGCATTTCATGGTAAAGATAAAGTGCTTCTTGGCCCCTCCGATTTCGTATTTCACCAGTACGTCGGTGGATTCCCCGGAGTGGCAGCACTGTCTCAGTCTCCCCTCCGTCTCCTACGTCCTCCGGATGCTGGCCGGCCTCTGCAAGCAGCACGCAGAGACCCAGGTGGCGGCCATATCGGCCGTGGAGAAGGTCCACCTCTTGGAGCAAGTCTCGACGAGAAACACCTGGGAACACTGGCAGAGAATGTTCTAGAAACTATGATGGAGAATGCAGAATGCCAGAGAGAGGTATGTGTAGCAGTGAGAAGTCTAGTGGGTGAACTTGTGTGTGTGGCTGTCTGCAGATCAAGGCGGTTCGTAAGGCCACTCGAGAGGAGAAGAAACGCAAGGCCATGGCTCTGAGGAAGAAGGAGCTCGGGGCACTTGGCATGCAAGTACGTATATCTTAGTTAACCTCTCTTCTAGCAGTGCAATGTCTATGTGTATATCAAATGCACCAATATAAATCTAGCTGCTACGTTTGTGGATAATGAGGTAAGATCAAAATCTAGGTGCTGAAAGACTTTTACTGTGAGTTGATTTGGGCACAATCCCAAAAACCCATCTGTGCTTTTACGAACTTCAAACGGCACATAATATTACAGACCTGCTAGTGTACATAATATGATGAAGTGGCTGCTGTATGTTATGCAGTTGAATGAGAAGGGACAGGTGGTGGCTATATCCCAGCTGCTGAATGAGCTCGGGTCACTGGAGGAGGAGACTGGCCTCAAATGCTGCATCTGTCTCGAGGGCTACCGCAGCCACCCACAGAAGGTTGGAGTCCACAGTTACCACATTAGCACATTGTATTAGGGAGCTGGACTATGATGATGTCTATATCTGTCAATCCAATGAGCTAATAGCTCCTCTTCTAATGAAGAGGAGCTGCCAATGATTATCATCCATGCTAATACTGAGTCCGGCCCCTGATACTGACTTAGCAGAGGAGAACCCTAATGTACTCGATTCATCATAGAACTACATTTGCATGCCTCCCATCAGGTGTTGGGAGTGTACACATTCTCAAAGAAGGTGACTCTGGATGAGTTTGAGAGCAAGCCACGGAAGACTATGGTGAGCTCAGCATTACACCAGGCCACCTTCACTCACTGCTTCACCCACTGCTTGCCTGTCTTTCCCATAGGGCATCTGTACCGTGTCCCACTTCAACGTTGTCCATTACGACTGCCACTCTTCTGCCGTGAAGTAAGCAGAGAGACAAAAGCTGCACACTGACAGTGTCACCTCTCCTCCCTCTCCTCCTCCTCCTCCTCTTCCCGCTCCCTCTCCTCCTCCCCCCTCCTGTCTCTCCACTCCCTTCTCCCTCTTCTCTCTCTTTCTCTCTGCAGGCTGGCTAGAGGTAGAGATGAATGGGAGAGTGCCATGCTCCAAAACGCCAACACGCGGTGCAATGGACTCATGCCTATCTGGGGACCCAACGTACGTACTGTATGCTAGCATCACTGAACAATCTCGGCACCATTCTCGTCCTCTCTCCTTCCACAGATTACTGACTCCTCTTTCGCTAGTAGCCTGGCAAGGTATCACAGCACATTTGCTGTTCTCTAGCATCTATTGATATACCTTTCTTTACACACTCACACTCTCTCTCTTACCCCCTTTTCTTTGCCCATTTTTCCTTACACACACACAATCTCTCCTTCTCTTGCCTGTTGCTTGTTCCCTGGGCGCCCCTGATATCAGGCACACTAGTTACCTCCAAGAGTCGACGAGCATCTTCGACCCGTCGTTCCTCATCCTGGCCCACGACATCCGCCTCCTCCTCCTCCGGTTCGCCTACGAGAAGTCGTTCAGTGCAGAGAGCGGTGGGGGAGGTCCTCAAAGCAACCTGCACCTAGTCCCCTACCTCATGCACATTGCCATCTACGTCCTCAACACGTGAGTATGATATTATTGTTCCTCCATAGAATGACTCCCCAGCCCATGACTCTTTTTGTCTCATTCTCAGGACTCGGGCGTTTCAGAAAGAAGAGAATAGTCTGGCCACCTTCCTATCAGCTCCTCTGGATAAGTGGGTGGCCTCCTCCTATGAGGTACATATTAATTAGAGATGGGTGGCCTAGAGGTGGGTGGCCTCTTCCTATGAGGTACATATTAATTAGCATTTGGCTTCTTGCTTTGTGAAAATGTAAGCCGTGACACAGTCCGAGATATGGGCCACGATTTCAATCTTGTGCAGATGCATTTACGGCATAAAACCCACGTCACTACCCCTTTTAATGGCCATTACTGACTGACTCGAACACCCACTCGCTATTGGTGTGTTTGTCAATGTTCCACTGACTTCTGTGCGTGTATTATGCAGTTGGATGGGCCGCTGTATGCGGTGGTGGTGTCTCTTTTCATTCAAACCCTGGCTCAGTGGAAAGAGCATCGACTGGCCTTCCTGAGAAGGCTCCTGATACTGGCACACACACGGAAATCCAGTTCCTCTCTCGTCAAGACGTGAGCACCTCTCACTGCTCTTTATTAAAACCTTATTATAGACAATTATCACAGACCTAAACCTCCGGCAATTATAGCCTTAAGAACTCCCTCTAGACAATTACTAGAAAAAACTTTCTCTCTCTAGGCATTATGCCTTGCTTATGCTTTTATACTGCCACAGGTTTTCAAACTCTGAACCGGTGGAATATGCTGTTTACAAACCAGTGGTGGTGCTCTTTGGACTAGTAGATGGATTGCATCACATGCTGAAGGTATAGTATATGGCACCATGTCTTGATACCACCATGTGATCATATTGCTGTGGACAGGCAAAGGTGACTGTGGAGGGATCAGATTTGCCACATGCCGTACTGGACTACATCAGAAACAATGACGTTGCCATCCTCGAAGGCTGTGACAAGGTAATTGAAATACCAGCTCCTAGTGGCTCGGCTAGCTAATGCTCCTCTCTCTTTGAATGATGCTTCAGATGCTGTCAAAGTACCAGGAAGAGTTACTAACTGCAGAGTCTTTTGAAGAAGTGTGTGACGTGTTGGGTAAGATGTCTATTAGTACAGCACTCGAACCATAGACCACCATTCTCATTCATTAATTGCTCTCCAGGTCTTCTGGGGGAAATAGACCAACCATCTGCCTTCCTGACTGAACTACTGGCATCGGTGTCCCAGAAGTGACACATTTTAACTCTGTAAACTGTATGATAGTTGGTAGGGTGTGTGTATCAGTAGTTTAGAAATCATAAATGATGAGATTATAACTATAGCTACCATAGCTTGCAGCACGTGGAGTACTGTCTGTCTGTCTGTTACTCTACATCTCACCTCTCGAATGTCTGTTCGTCCCAGAAACGATACCATCTACCCAACGGGCGACGAAGGTAAGAAAATATGTGGGGTTTTCTCTGAAAATGCTCCGTTGCAGAGCTAGAGCATTGTATGGCAGTTGCCATTTTATCGCTGGCGGATAATGCGCATGCGCTTATATTTAGCACAAACCAACTCTGGCCGAACATGTCATCACCAACCACACAAAAAGTGACAACTCCTGGTGCACTCTACTTGACTCTGACTACCATGGACCCCACCTTCTTCAGTCATGTGTTATGCTTCCTACATGTTTTTAACTTGTCTGTATACATGTCATGCCCGGGCGGGCCATTCAAACATGAACTTTGAACAGCACAAGTTCGACCGGGTCCGCTTGCTCTGTCTATCTTGAAGGCACAAGAAGTCACAACGAATGGCCTCTCGCGTGCTATCTACTACTGTAGCTAGCCCGTGTCAGACTCTCTGCGAGCTACTTCGCCGAGGGTTTGCACTTTAGTGCTTTTCATTCAGTTCAGTAATTTCTGTGCTATTGTCGACACATAATTATTTTGGAATTATGATTGTGGCGGTTTTGAATTGAGGTGGCCTTTGCCATGGTTCAGGTGAGATGACGAGTCAAGTAATTGTACTTCAGTTTTCAGGTGATGACATGACTTTGACTCTGGGCTGGCCCCATCCTGAAAGTCACTATCTTTGTACAGTCAGTGAGCATAATGGTGGTAGCTTACCACCAGCTTCTGTGATTTCGTCTTGGGGTGCTCTTTGCTCTCAAACTGCTTTTCTCTTTCTCTCTGCATATATGATTGAGGCCATTCACAGGGGATGGATTATCAGTAGCTAATAGAGTTAGCAAGAGACTAATTACCATGGGGTTGGTGTGCAGCAGTAGACCCACGTGTTTGCAGTTCACTACCACTAAACTCGTGGCAGAAGAGAGAAAACGTGTCCTTGTGCTTCTCCAACACAAACGAGTGAAGCTCTGCACCAGTACAACATCACGAATCATCCAAAAACGGATTTTAGAAATGACTAACTCTTGAGTAAATGGTGATGAGCTGCCTGGTTGAAAATTTCCTTCAGACTTTCAATGAAGGCATAGATATCATGTTTCTGTGTGATGTTGATTAGCTAACTCTATGTCAAAGTTTAGTAAAACGTTTGTATACGATGTGTATGTACCTCTTTGTACAGTGCTAGAGCTGTCTTGAAGCTGCTGTAGGCCTGGTCACTCAAATTAGCCCTTATCTCGTCTATGAATCCAACAATGTTCTCCGTCTTTTTCACCTGATGTCTCTGGGGTATTGGAAAACACGCCACCACAATCAATAATGAAATCCACACTAAAAGTGCTATCGTGGAAGTGTGAGATCACACCAAACCGCCACATTTTTCCGCCGAGTAAGTATTACATTCAGGAGCTTCTGATTTGCATACCTTTGACACTACTAGCATCTTCTTGGGTCTGGCTTTAACTGTGGAGCCTTCATCAGTGGCCAGTGACTTGGAGCTCTGTGCAGAGCTGTGGCCACAGAGTATAGTCTGTGAGAGAGTGGGGCCAGCCTCAACCTACGGGGGCACAAGTGTACTGAATTGCTTGGTTCTATATCCTGCAATGGTTGCTACAGTTGAAACCGCCATCAACTGCTACAGTTGAAACTGCCATCAAAGGATCCTCTAAATAAAGGACACCTCTATAAAATAAAAAAAATGACACCTGGTGTTGCCCTACAGTAATACTGGTTATACCACCTCATATATACCTGGAATAAGAACATTTTGAATGTCCCTTATTCAGAGGTTTAACTTTACTTACTGCCAACTTGAGATGTGTTCTCCTGTGCAGAGTTAACGTCTTCTTTCCCACGGAATCACTGCTAGCCTACATTACATCACAACCGGACACTCACTAGCTGGGAAATTTAAAACTGTGTTTTTCTCACCTCTACTTGCTTCAGAGAACTGAGCAGAGTCCTACCTGGTACAGAGTGCATCTTCTCCAGTTTCTTCAGAGATGCTGCAGACACGACAGAGAAGTTGCCTCTCGCTACATCGCCTGATCTTCTCGCGCTACCTTTTGGGGCCCTGCTGGCCAGGTGTGTCTCAACTTGACCGGCGTCCTGGGGGTCCCATTTTCGGCCCCTCCACACGGGGTTCTCCTTCACCACAATAGTCCCCCCTGCCCCCAGAGGACGACTCCCCCTCATTGCCGCTCCTTACCGTCTCTACCACACTTCTCTTTGGAGCCATACCTCCAAACTGAGCAATAAAAACAGCACTATAACCTCTGTGTAAGGACGTCTATCACTAATCCTGCCACGATATAAAGTGTGCTCTTTTTGAAGCTGCATGTTAGATCTTAACGCTACTAATCCTGCACTGTTGAAGGAAGCAAAATCTACATAATCCTCTGGGGGAAAGGTTTCATCATTATGCTAATGAATCACCTAGTCTATACTGACTGGATCGCCACACTAGTCTTCACTATACTAGAGCATACCCATCAAGTAACGCTGTTACAGTGAATGCAGCTATTATACCTGTTTCCCTGCATTGGAGAAGAATCGACTGAGATCTCTCTGGACAAGGCCAAACTTCTCGTAGGTCTTCACGTACGGACGGACCCATTTGGGCAGCTGCTCAATGTTACCACGGTAGGCAAACCTACAGACACAGATAGTATCGGCTATTGAGAACTAACTTGCTGAGCACTGAATATAGGTTTTGAGCTCAAAATTCACATAGCAGCTTAGGCTTGCCTGCACACTTGTACTTTTAAAGTATGAAAACAGCAAGTATAATTCGGGTGGGTTTTTTAAATTGCTCATTTCGACCAAATTTGTTTACCACGGCTGACTGGGTAGTGAGTAAAATTTTCACCTCTCGTCGCAGAGTATGATAGCTCCATAGTCTTGCTTGTGTCTGATGACCCTCCCCACTGCCTGATTGACCGCACGTGACGCCTGTTGTCTGTACCACTCCTGCCCTCCCAGTACCTGCAATAATATGGAGACCCAGGGCAGTATATATGTAGTCGTCTAGTTCCTTGTGAACACTTTCTCTAACATTTGGTTAAAGCAGTGTCGACGTAAGAAAAGCTGCTCGTTGTGTGACTACGTACGTACGTTGGCTTTCTCCCACTTACTGTGAGCCTAAAAACACACTCATGGACCATCTATATGCACTGGCTCCATTTTTCACATAATACACATATAATGACGTCTGGATACATTACATCATTGTTTACTTTGACAGAGCGTGTGCTCCGTGATTCTTCCAGATGTTTCATCTTTAAGTCAACCTGCAGAGAGAGAGAGAGAGAGAGAGAGAGAGAGAGAGAGAGAGAGAGAGAGAGAGAGAGAGAGAGAGAGAGAGAGAGCGACCAACTTGGCTGTAGGCAGTAGTATATATATATAACAGACAGACCTTTGGGTCCATTCTAGGAGGGTACGGCAGTCCAGTTATGATCACAGCTCGACCATTGTTGTTGGCAAAATCCAACCCTTCGCTAACCTATACAGAACAACAAGGGAAACCATCGAAAGTGAAATTCGCCATATTTTTACAATCACTGTCTCACCTTTCCTCTGCACACAGCAAAGAAAATGGCTCCGTCTCTTTTGGGGTCGTTGATAGCCTCGTAGAAAGCATCCATTGTCTGTTTAAAATCAAGAATCCCGTAATCACGGGCTACTGGTGAATAATTCAGAGCTCACGGGGTTAAACTCTCCCTTTTTTCTCGGCTCCTGGTAGTACGGTTTGAACTGCTCCATCCTCTGCAGTATTCCGTTCTCCTGTGTAATAAACCATGAGTTAACTGGTCATTACAAAAACTCTCGGGAGCTCTCGACTAGTAGTATGTACACCTTACCCTCCAGTGGTTGATGCAGCTGTGCATGACAGGGTAGGAGGGGAAGAAGACCAGCAGTCCTTGCGGCACAATCCGAGCAAAGTTCACTATATACCCAGTCAGTAGACAGACAAACAGTATCATCAGTACCATTGTATGGCATGTGATATTCAACTGACCAATGGTATTGCCAAGACTTGACTGGTAAGAAGCCGTGGACCTGAAATGATAACATAGAGCTCACATAAATAAACCACAGAGGTACAAAATTCAGAAGTCTCGAAACCAATCAACACATACTGTAGAACCTGGCAAATTTGGTGCCTTCCAGATGTCATTAAGACATGTGGCATGAGGCAGTCAGAGATGGTATGGGTACCTGTTCTCATATGAGGAGTTTAGTGAGACTCCGTCACAGCCTCTGGAGACCACACCCACCCACATCTGCTCCTTTGATATGACATGAGGACCTTCGTATTGCACTGGGAAATCACTGTGTGTGTGTGGGGGGGAGATGGAGGAGAGGGGAGGAGTGTGCAAGAGAGAGTGATAAGAAAAGAGCGTAGCGTGAATCTCTCACATGTGAAGTTCGCAGGAGAATGAGTCGAGAGGAGAGAGAGTTCCGCTGGTGAGAATCACAGAGCGGACTCCCTGGGCCGTGAGGTCACTCATGGCGTGTCCGGGACTGAAACACCAGTAGCTCAGAGTACGTGCTGTATACAGTTCGTAGACAAACAGGCAAAAAGTATGAATATCACCATTTCTATTATCATGCTAGGGCACTTCCCTATAGTTTGACATTTGAGTTAAGGATAACTGCATCATATGAAGTACTTGGAGCTCAGGTAAGGACACACACACATTTGTGTCATTGAGTTACTAAAACACAGCATGTACAATAATATACTTATACTTAATACATTTTGCTGCAAAACCATACCTTCTGAGCTAATCAAGCCCGTGAGTATCCAAGCAGTAAATAACACTTACAGCACGATTTCTAACTACACGGTTATATACTTTCTACACTAAGGTAATAAATGGTGGCTAACTCTCTTTCTTGGAGGATGACTCTGCAGCAGGCGCTGCCCACATGTCAGACTTCTTCTTGGTTTTGGCATCCTCTGCCTTCATGAACACTTTGTAGCTGTGGGTGGAGCTGTGGGCGGGGCCTCTGCCAGAGTGACTGAACACCACCTGGTGAAGAATACACGTTAACTGTAGTGTATTAGACCTCACTAGTTGCGTATACCGTGATTGCATCCAAGAATTTCTCGATGTTGTTGCCGTTTCTGAAGGATCTGCTGTCGGCGGTGAGCCAGGAGATGGCCCTGCCACACTGGCCACTTAGAATGTGGACATTGCCCTGAGTCACTCCTACACCAGCCAGGAACTCAAACATAAACCTGGCACGTAGGGAGAGAGAGAGAGAGAGAGAGACATTTTGGTCATTCAAGCATTGGTATGTGACAGGATCATTGTAAAACTAGGCTCATCAGTGCATTTCCCTAATAGCCAACTAAGGTCTGAGCTAAAGCATTTAGTTTTCGCTCATTGGACTCACTCTCCAGGTTTGACCACCCCCTTGGAGGAGGTACTGAGGTCCAGTTCGTCCATCTTCTTCTCCAGAGATAAAAGAACAGCTAGAGGAATGGAAGTGAAGGCGGAGGATGGGCTAATTAATATCTGCCTCAAAATGAGGAGAAATGGCATACCTTTGAGGTTGAGAAAGTCTGTAAAGTCATCGCTAATTTCTCCCTCTGAAACGATTGAAAAACTCAAATTTTTTGGACTTTATCTAAGAGGCACCACTTTTTTTTTCGTACACATTTCGAGGTAAACATTCGGAAAATTCCATGAAATTATATGCTGTACAGTAAAATTTCCTCCTAGTTGAAAATATGTCCACGTTTCATGCTCACACACACACACAGACAGACCGACTGCAATAACCCTCGCAGGCGAGGGTTAACAAATGGAAGGAGTAGATCTAACATAGTAGTACTCATGTGTGTCCATACATACATATGTATATACACTACAAATGTGGCACAACCAGCCTTGCGCGTGGAAAGCTCGTCTCTCTCGGTAACTCTGGCTGAGTCTCAAATCTGATTATTTTCCACGTGCATACAGTACGTACGACAAGGTAAGATTACGTAATGAGTAATAAGTAAACAGTCTACATATAGTGTACGGGTGCTACACATACATACCAGCAGAGAGTTCCAGTTCCTCTTTCTTGGCCTTGAGAATGGTGTCCACGTCGCTGATACACAGACTGATGTCGGTGGACGTGAGATCGAAGCTTGCAGAGTCTTCACACACCCTCTCCTGCAGCCACAAAACACACCTCATATCACCAGGCTAACAGCAACCAGCACACATGAGGCCAAAAAAAGATTGGACAGTTCCTTTAGGAAACAACGTTTACTTTCTTACAGTTACGTATTTCACTTTTACTTTCGGGATATATGATTTGGTTAGTTACTCTTTTAAGAGGGCTGTCCACGAAAACTACTGAAAATATGAGCATTGGAAAATAGACTGAACTGAACTGAAGAGGAGCTTACAATGTTGTGTGCCTCGTCCAAGATGATGATTGTTCCTTGCACATTGATGTTGTGCATCTTTCTCGTCTGAAAGACAGAGTGTCGTAAGGTCGGTCATAAACGTTAATTAAAACACACTATGCACTAGCAATGAGGGGTATCTACAACTGGTATATCCAAAATCTCAAAATTAGAGAGGTAATCTGCAAAAGGATTTCCTCCACCATTAATTGTATGGGTGAGTGTGACGAAACATTTGCCGCTGAACCGTGAATACATACATACATACATACATACATATACTGTACCTTGATGTCTAAGATATAGTTGTATGGCATGAACACGATATCAGCCTCGGCCTGCATCTCTCTCGCCAGGTAATACGGACACATCCTGCGGATGGAGACACCAGCAAATTTTACACGCTATTGCAAAAATTTACAGGAAAGGGCAAAAATTTTTAGCAGACCTCTGTTTAGTGCCGGCTAAGACCAGGTCCTCGACATCCATAACTGTGTTCCTAGTCTTGAGACGTTTCACTGTGAGGAACGATTGACTATTATTGACACTTCGTGCTACAGTATAAAGAGGCAGTGTGTAACTACCATCGACGTTTCTGCAGAAATGGCAGGAATTGCTCTGGACCTTGGCTCGACACAAGTGAACCTGCATCAACAACCACCAGCCAAATTCATGTCTATTTTAGTGGTGTATGTATGTATGTATGTATGGTGTGTATTTATGTGTCCAAAAATTTCTGGTGGAAGTACACTTACTTTCTCAAAGTTGGTATCTTTCTTGGAGACCTCGGGATGGATACACAGCTGTTCCCTGGAGCCAATGATAGCCATTCGAGGTCTGTTGAGAGAGATAGAGATGTACCCACAGCTATCTCCAGTCTAGGTAACTGGTGAGTTGACCTGTATATGGTGTTCTTCAGTTCATGAATGACATGAGAGAGCTGAGAGTGCGTTCTGGAGGCGTATATTATCTTGGGCACCGCCACACCACCCTGGCCACCTCCTGCTACACACAGAACAAACAGTCTTCGTTAGTTCGTCTAACTAAACTAAGAAGAAGCCCTTGGGCACCGCCACACCGCCCTGGCCACCTCCTGCTACACACAGAACAAACAGTCTTCGTTAGTTCGTCTAACTAAACTAAGAAGAAGCCCTTGGGCACCGCCACACCGCCCTGGCCACCTCCTGCTACACACAGAACAAACAGTCTTCGTTAGTTCGTCTAACTAAACTAAGAAGAAGCCCTTGGGCACCGCCACACCACCCTGGCCACCTCCTGCTACACACAGAACAAACAGTCTTCGTTAGTTCGTCTAACTAAACTAAGAAGAAGCCCTTGGGCACCGCCACACCACCCTGGCCACCTCCTGCTACACACAGAACAAACAGTCTTCGTTAGTTCGTCTAACTAAACTAAGAAGAAGCCCTTGGGCACCGCCACACCACCCTGGCCACCTCCTGCTACACGCAGAACAAACAGTCTTCGTTAGTTCATCTAACTAAACTAAGAAGAAGCCCTTGGGCACCGCCACACCACCCTGGCCACCTCCTGCTACACAAAGAACAAACAGTCTTCGTTAGTTAAGCATTAAAGGCGAATTGGCTGCAAAAATTCCACTGCAGCCCGCAATTTGCTGAATAATGCAACATCTTCTGCAGTGCTATTATATTAAATGTACAGCTGCTGGTAATATTGAGTATATCCAAATTTCATGGTTGAGTTGGAAGCTCAGTAGTCAACTCTCTACACACATGCAACACAGTATGAGAGTTTTACCACCACTTGGTGCGGTGTCCCATAGTCCTTCGTCTCCCTCGTACCTGTCCCTTCCCTCCCCCTCCCCCTCATCTCTCGTGACAAGGCCCCTCTGTTTACGAACAAAGTCCTCCCTCCAGCCGAGAGCTGCACACAACAGACACAGCGTCTTTCCCGTTCCAGTCGGGGACTCCAGAATTGCATTTACACCCTGGACAGTTTTGGCGGGAAATTGGCGGGTGTTTGGCGGGTAATCAGTACTGTATTGTAAAAGTACGACGAACCCTCTGGAGGCTTTCCACGACCTTCTCCATGTAGACTAGCTGGCACGGGTAGGGACGAAAGGGGAAGTCAACCTCCACCCCGCAAACGTTCAGTGGCTGTCTACCGTCACCCTCGTCTACTAGTACCCGCGTTGCCATTACAAGTTCTCGATTTTCGTGGGTAAAAGTTCAAAGTTCAACGTAACGGACGCGCTGCGCACTGGACCGTAAAGCGCATGCGTATAACACCGACAGAGTAGAGACACAACGAACGACTAGACTAGCTGTTGGTTTGTTTTGTGGCTACTGTTGGTCTTTCTCTCTTCTTCTCGATGCTCTTGGGCAGTAAGAGACTGATAAATATGAGTGCTAATGCGAGCACAGCAACTGTGTTGAACACAAAGTGGTAGTCCAACGGCCAACTATAACCTTTGAGAAAGAAAAAAGAAGGGGAAGAAGAAAAAAGGAGTGACACAGAAGGGGAAAACAAAGGAGTCAGAGAGAAGAAAAGAAGAGAGACCAAGAGAGATAGGAAAGAACCTGTGATTTAGTGAAATGCTAGCTATAAGTAAAAGCATACTGTTATTCTCGCTCCAGGCAAAGAGCAGAGAGCCGACCAGAGGCGCTATGGACCGACTGATGGCCACGAGAGACTGTCCAATTCCATTGACGGAGCCTCTTGTCTCTGGCTGCACACAACAACACACGGCAGAGATATTGACTTACGTTGCACACCTCACACAATAAACGTACCAGGCTGGAGTTTCCAACTAAGACAAACAGGCTGATGAACCCACTGATCCTAAACAGTAACAAAAGACAGAGAGAGAGAGAGAAAAATCATACCACCACAAAAAATTTGCTAGGACACAACAAAATTAGGCCCTTACATCAGTAGGAGTGCCCTGTACTCATAATTATTATATAATACTTAGCGTATCCCAAAACCTTCAACTGATTCTAGTATATTGTATATACACACCTGGATATGACTAGAAGGGCCATCACGCTGAGCAGCATTGCCCACACTCTAGCCGGAATCCTTGACACGGAGTTTTCGTTCACGCTAGTCTCGTAATCGACTTGACAGAACCCGGTCGAGTTTGCCGCGACGAACCCCCCAGACCCCGACCCAGAATAGACACTGGACGACGAGGTAGAGTTTGTTTCGGAGCCGCTACAGAGGTTGTCTGCGGCGTCCCCTATGGGTCCGGTGATCCAGTTGGAGAACGGGAGGATGAGAAAACAGGCAACACACGCAAAGACGCCGAATTGGAAGGTTCGACGGTAACCGAGTAATTTGACTAGTCTTGGGTAGACCAACAACTGTGGGAGAGAGATAACTTCACTTTGTAATACAATACTCCACACAATAGAAAAACCTCTCCATAAAGGACACACTTTGAGGTCCAAAAATATTCTAGTACATTTTAACCTCCAAAGAGGGGAAAAACTCCCAACATGTCCATTATTCAGAGGTTCCGCTGACTGTTTTTCTCAATAATGTGGTGTCATAATGCCGACCTGCCAGAAGATCTGTAAGACACCGCTGCACATAATGATGACTCCCAGCTCGCTGCCGTCCAGGTGGTACCCTCCGTGACGATAGCACGTCACCATCAACAGTGGGAAGGTCTGTGGACACCCATGGAAACACAGGATGGGAGTGAGCTTACTCCATGCACGTTTCATGCTACATCGTGTACATATTATGGGGGCAAGCAGTAAGACATGATAGGGTAACCCACCTTGCTAACTAATACATGTATGCATGGGGGACGGTACTGTAGTTAGTAAGACAAGATAGCACCATGCATGAGGGAAGGTATATACTGTAGTTAGTAAGACGAGATAGGGGTGACCCACCTCGCTAACTAATACATGTATATAATATGGATTAGTAAGATATGATAGGGGTGACCCACCTCGCTAACTAATACATGGAGGCCTCCATACATCCCATAGATACTAGTAGAGAGGAACACTTTCCGGTCGACCATCAGTCGTGCCACCATGTGCAACTTCCCCAGCATCCGTCTCAGATTGTCTCGGAGAAACAGGCGGGCTTTCTTTGGAGTACAGCTGGCACAACCAGCCACACACACACCACACCCCTCCCTCCACCCCCTCGCCTTGTTCCGAGTCCTCCTGATCGCCACATGGGGGCTCCAGCTAGTTGACCATCTCCTCACGCTCCCCACTCTCTCCTCCTCACTCCTACCCTCGTTTATTAACAGCTCCGTGTCGGACCCAACTCTCTCGTCAAACGATGTCATCCCTCCATCGGATGACATCACCCCTCCTCCGTCGGACTCGCTGTCGATATCGCTCTCCATCACCAGCGGAGCCGTGTCTGAACCGATGAGTCTGTCGTCTGATTCTCTCTCGTCGTCCTGTAGCTGGCGAGCCAGTTCGATTCCGGAGTCAGTCGAGCTGGGTGTTTCTGTGGTTTCACTGCTAGCGGCCGAATCTCTCCTGGTCTTGTGCAACGTCTCCTCTATAAATATCGATGCAGCTGCCGAGTATTGGGCAAAGGAGTAAGAGAAGGCGGGAAGAGGGAAGGAAACGGGTTAAGTATACAGCAAAGAACATCAGCCCTTGGTGTGGGAAACCCTATAAGAGAAAACTTGGATAAATTGTCTGCAAAGTATGTGGATGGGCATATTTCTATTGCGCACCAAGCAATCCACAAAGGCTCGAGTATGTTATTGAAGCGCCAAAGTTATCTCGGTGTACGTACGTATGTGTGTGCAGTAGGTGTGCTTACATATGAAACTCAGGAGGCATATTGTGGCACCGACGATGCAGGGCAAGGCGTAGGGAAACTTGCAGAAGAACTGAGTTTCAAACACAGAGTATTTCGAAGCCGGTTGAGACAAGAAACCACCGACCACAGATCCCTGGGAAAAGATCAGACAGTAGAATTATTATTATTATCAGAACACAGCTGATGCAATAGGACCTTTTCTGTATTTGCCCATTTGCCTGAAAGGCATGAGTGTATGCAGTGACATCCGTGCTTCTTTAAGTTGCAACGTGTACAAAAGGGGTGTGTGAGTGAGAGAGAGAGAGAGAGAGGTGTCACTTACAACAAGCCTTCCAATCCCTGAACTAGTTCCGATCACAGAGAAACCCTTGGCCTGGTTGCTGTCATCACAAACCTATAAAATTACATATGCAGCATTGTGCTGAGTCATAATGGTCCCAACATTCATAAGTACAATTATACATGATGCAATTTCTTACGAAATCTGTGGTAAGGATGCCAGGCCCTCTAATAATACCACTGACCTACATTTTGTGGGGAAAGACATTTTATGGGCTTCTTGCTCTGCTGTAGAGCTAGTCAAAGATAATTCGAAAAACAGTTTCTCCCTAAATGGGCTGAGTAAGTGTGGACTATCATGAGCATCAACTAGTAGTTGGAGTGTTAAAAACCTCAGAGATGTAGGTCTTGGCGACTCCGAGGTTCCCATTGAGAAGACCCCAGAGGAACCGGGCTGTCACGGCCCAGGCAAAGTTCTGACTGAACCCAAAGAGCAGCTCCATGATGAGCGTAAAGAAGAGACCCAGCAACATGATGGGTTTGCGTCCAAACACGTCCGACGCCCAGCCCCAGCCGAAACTGCCAATAAAGTTTCCAAAGAAGAATGCACTTCCAAGATATCCAGCCTTCTGGCCTGCACGATTACGGGGACAGTTTATTACATCAGAACACCTCTCTAAGGACACCCTTAAAATGAGTATATACACCTCTCTACCAAGTAATAGGGATACTTTGTTCTGTCCCACTGGTGCCCAAATTATAACTCAATTGCTTTAAATTATAATTCGGGCTACAGTTGAAGGGCTTTAAAAGAGTTCCCACAACACAAGACATTCAGAGTCAATACACACACATGATACAGTGGATCCAGTGTTAAAAATGGTACAGTGGACCGATAGCCTCTCTACGTACCGAGTTGCTCTCTACTGAGATGTGGGAAGAAGTCGTGCACCATGAACGGGAGGAAAGGGAATAGCAGCATACTTCCTGCACACAATCACAGAGAGAGAAACAGGAGCCATACTCATCTATCTTAACGGTAAAAAGGACACTTCCCGACAATATATAATATGACTACCATTCTTTTTGTGGTGTATGTACTAAAGCACTTCCTGTGTGGCTATCAGGACTTACCAAACTGGTTCACAAATAGCACCGATGCTACCACCATAACCTGCGAATGAGCAATTGTGTGAGGGGCATGTGAACGATAAGTAAGAAGTATTGAGGGCCCCTTACTTTGGCCAGCGGCAGCGGAGTGGCCTTCGGTCCTTGTCTCGCTCTACGAGGAGTGCATGTAGAGCACCAGGGGCGGCAGAGTCCCCGCCTGGCCCAGCGAGCGGCTCGCCTGGCGCCGTCCCTCATCTTTCAGTCTCGATATCCTACGTTGTCCCAGAGCAGCGTTGGGTCGTATAGCCATAGCCTCGGTCTAGGGACCTAGGACTGGAATAACTGTACTGCACTGACGCAACCCCCTCGCTAGCAGTCACTGCTGCTCAAATTCACTTCGACTTGCTCTCATCTGCCGCTGCTGGTTGGTTTCATCCATGCGGCCAGTTTGCGCGCGCCGCTGAATTACGAGCCACGCCTACTACTTTAGTACAAGGGTCGTCTTCAGATCCGCAGAATGGCGGCCGGTTTGCGGAAACAGAAGAAGTACAACTGGAAGGAGACGAACCTCTCCCTGTTCGGCTCAGACTTGGAGAAAAAGGTCTTCTGTAGCTAGGTGTATACCTAGCTCTGCAGATCTAGCTACTACTGAGTATATAATTATACTGTGGCCTTACGAACCCTCAGATCAAGGAGGCTAGTGCCCATGGCGAGGAAGCATGGAAAGGAGCAGGTGCAGAAGTCGGCTTGCAGATATGGAGAATTGTCAAATTCAAGGTCGGAACCAATAAACTGAACACTTCAACTCCAGCCTCAGCAATTTATTCAACAATCAGGTGACCCACTGGCCCAAAGGTGACTATGGAAAATTCTATAACGGCGACTCTTACATTATCTTGAACACCTACAAAAGGGATCCCTCTAGTGAGGTAGCTATACTCTGTATTGTGGCATACTTCCTGTGGTTGATTGGTCAGTGTGTTTGTGCATGTTAGGCCCTATCGTGGGATGTTCATTTCTGGATTGGCAAGTACTCTACCCAGGACGAATATGGTACGGCAGCTTATAAGACGGTGGAGCTGGACCACTTTGTATGTCAACAGTTGGCACACGGATAACCACGCAATATGATGTAGTTTGGTTGGTCTGCATGCAGCTAAAGGATGCTGCAGTTCAACATAGAGAGGTACAGGGGAACGAGTCTCAACGGTTCAGATCCTACTTTGATCACATTGTCACCTGGAAGGGAGGGTATGTCTGTATGTGTATTACTGCAACTCCCATAGTTCCTACCTGTTACTGTACATAAAGAGCTGATTCAGGCTTCAACCACGTGGAACCTGAGAAGTATACTCCACGACTTCTTCACATCAAGGGGAAGAAGGTCTCTACCGCAATAGGCCAGCTCTAGAACCCTTTTACATTGAGTTCTGTGTATATAGGATAATGTGCGAATTGAGGAGAAGCAGTTGAAGAGAAAATACATCAACTCGGGTGATGTTTTCGTCTTGGATCTCGGTCTGAAAATAATCCAGGTTTAGTAAGAAGTTCGCTATATGGATTTCAGATTATGCGTTCTATTATTTCAACTTCACGATAATAGTGGAATGGCAAAGAGTCCAACAAAGACGAGAGAATTGTGGCTGCATCTTTTATGACCTCACTAAAGGTTAACTAACTCCCCTAATAGCATGACTCTTACTCTAAAATAATGTAATCTTTAGACTGATCGTGGGGGCCGACCTGCACTGGAGACAGTAGGTAAGATATCACATGTGATGCTACTAGCTTTAATAGCCATAAGATTTTCTGTGCTACAGATGAGCAGGGTTTGAGTGAAAACCATGAATTCTACAAGAAACTTTGGGTAGGGCTGTTTGGGTCAAAGAAGACCAAATCAGCAGAAGCGGTATAGCCAGCAACTAATAGATTCCTGGCATTCATTAATGGAGAGTGTGTGTCGTGTGCAGGGTGGAACAGATGAAGATGTGAAGGCTGTAGAGAAAGTTCTTCACATGTAACATATTTTACTCCGCTATATGTAGTGCAGTTGATGCACGTTGTGTAATGTGTGTGCAGGATTCATGAGAAGAAAGATCACCAACTTTCTTTCAAGCAGGTTGCCTCTGGTTTCATTAGTCGAGGCTACCTTGACCCCACTGATGGTAAATATATGTAGGTCTAACTTAAGTGACAGCATTTTATCCTAGGTTATTATGCTTCTATGCAGTATTTGTGTTGGACACGGGGCTCCATGTGTTTGTATGGGTAGGAAAGGAGGCTACATCACATGAGAAAGGTGGAGGACTGGTCATTGCTCATGTGAGCCACACACATTCAGGCCCCGTAATTTGGTCTTGTTATTGAGAGACATGCTGAAGAGTTCTGCAATGCGGGGTATCGTGTATATACTTTCCTGCAGGAGTATGTGAAGACTAGCAAGCATCCCTTCCTGCCCATCACGAGAGTGGCTCAGGGACAGTCTCTGGAGGCATTTGAGAGTACTTTTGATGATAGAGCAGAGGTATAGCTATAGTCCTTATTATGTCAATTTTGCAGTATCGGTGTTTCTTTGGCACATTGCAGATTGGAAGCAATATTCAAGGCAAAGGAGATTGTGTTATACTGTAGCAAAAACTATTAGCAGTTGGTACGAAATTTTGTTGGATACCATAAAAAAATTTATGCGGATGCAATGGCGTCTGCTAAGTGCCTCGTACCTGTGGATACATTTCGGCAAAAGTACGCGTCAGACTCTGCCGGCGGCTCGAGAGCAGTGTTTATACTCGGATCATTAGCCAGTTTGCCTTCCGAGGACGTGGTTTGCCGACGATCCATTACACTGAGCGACGAGGACAAGAACACGTTCTCCAAGACCCTCGCCCTCCCACCAGACCGCTGGACTGATCTGGACGCGATTCTAGCGAGATACTCACAGGACAAGGAAGTGAGCTTTGGCCCTCGCGTAATTTACGCGACAGGGAACGACATATCCTGTGTGTCCGTACTGGCAAAGCTGAGGGAGTTTCTGAAATCATCTACCGACAAAGATGGAGGTATATAATATATTATACGTAATACAACGAGTGAGTTCCTGTTTGATGCAGCTGTTATCCACTACTTTGGGAACGGGAGGAAGTTTCGAGGTGACTGGTGTTTCAGTGATGGCTACATTACCTTCCAAGACCTGATGGATGTGTACATGGAGACTTATCGTGGACGTGTTCTCACTGTCGTCAGTGACTGCAGTCACTCGGGGAGCTGGGTGAAACAGTGTTACCAGTTCATGGACGGACAAGGAATTATCCCATGTGGGCATCACGCAATTGAAAAAGGGGTTCTCGTCAAGTTTTTGCTTCCTGCAAATCACACCAGAGAGCCAATGTTTTGGATACTCACTGATTGCATGTTCAATGATAAAATATGCTGGTTGCACCAATTCAGAATTTTCGAAAATTGGAGAACACACTCGGCAGTTGGGCGAGATTTTACACAGCGTAGGCTCTGTAGGCAAATAATAAGTGGATGACACGTGTGGACAGGACTGTTCTATGACCTGGCAGCAAGGGTGGGGG